AACGCTGTAGACAGGGACTATCCATTGAGGGCCTTCTGCAACCAGGCCTTTAAAAAAAAAACTCATTTTCATTTCTCTAGGTGTTATTACCCCTCTTTTACAGACATCTAAGTTAAGGCTAAGATTTTATGTAACTCGTTTAAGATGGCCCAACCAGTGAGAAGAAAAGGTGGGATGTTTTCAGAAATACCAGTGATTAAGAAGCAGAATTCCTTGAATTTAAGAATAAAAGGCACATAGGAGAGTGTATTTTAGGACATACAATGTGAAGTCCAATGTGATGTTCAAATTATGAAAGACTTTTGGAGAATGCAGTGGGGTGCATTCTAAAGAGGGATTCATTTCTGTGATGAAATGCCTCTTATCATTTGTTCCTGCACACAATGCATTACATACTAAAAAGAAAAAAATGAAAGTAAATCAATCAAGAAAGACTGTAGATGGAGAGGGATTGAATTAGAGGAGAAAATCCAACCCACGCTGGATTGGTTGCTTTCTCTCTATTTTCCTACTGGTCCTGCTCTCATTCCTTGCCATGCCCTAAATCAGGGATCAGTAAACTTTTCCTGGAAGGAGCCAGGTAGTAAATATCTTAGGCTTTGCTTGTCACATTCTTTCTCTGTCACAACCACTCCATTCTGCTGTTGGAGTGCCAAAGCAACGTAGATGCCATGTAAATGAACGGCCACGATTATGTTAGAGTAAAACTTCACTTATGGGCCACTAACTTTGAACTTCATGTAACTTTCATGTGTCATGAAATATTACTCTGCTTTGATTTTTTTCAACCATTTTTTATGGATATTAAATTTGAAATTCATGTAATTTTCATGTGTCATGAAATGTTATTCTTCTTTTAATTTTTTTTTTTAACTATTCAATAATCTAAGAACCATTCTTAGCTCATAGGCTGTACAAACAGGCGGAAAGCATGACTGGGTTTCCAGGCTCTGGTTTGCCGACCTCTACCCTGGCCTGCCCACCCTCCCCTGACTTCCTAGCATGTTGCGTAGTGTCTGGATGGGTGTTTCTTTTACTTTGAGCATTTCAATGTTGTTTTGCACCAAGACCTTAATCCCGGAAGAGACTTCAGAGAACCCAGAGGATCCAGTAAGACACGTATTCCCACTCACATTTGCAAAAGCAGACTTGTAGAGTTTGCTGCCAAATGAACTTCAGCTGAAACAAATGAAGCCATAGCTGCTGTTTAAGAGGATTTATAATAAAATGGAAAATTCTTGGCATGCTCTGTCAATTTCATTGAAGATTAAAGGATAAATGCAGGACTTTGTAGTATCCCTAGGAACTATCTTATTTCAAAGTGATGCCGGCAAAGATGAAAATTCTTTGTTTTCTTTTAGCAGCGTTGGTCCTCTCTAGATATTAAATATTTTGTTGTTGTTGTTTCTCTCCAAGGAAGTCAGCTGTAATGTGAGGGAAACAGGCCTGAACTTGGTTTCAAAAAGATCAAGGTTTGAGCATCAGCTCTTTTAATTTTACTGTGATCTTGGGTAAATTAACATTACTAGGGGAGTCTTAACTTCCTGATCAGGAAAATGGGATTAATGATCCTACTTCACAGGGCTTTTTATTATAGTTAACTTTTAATTTTTATTTATTCATTTATTTATTTATTTCTGAGACAGGGTCTCATTCTGTTGGTCTGGCTGGAATGCAGTGGCATCATCATAGCTCACTGCAACCCTAAATTCCTGGGCTCAAGCGATCCTCCTGGTTTAGCCTCCCAAGTATCTAGAACTACAGGTGTGTGCCACTGGGCCTGGCTAAGTTTTCTTTTCTTTTCTTTTTTTTTTTTGGTAGAGACAGGATCTCACTATGTTCCTCAAGCTGGTCTCAAACTCCTTGCCTCAAGTGATCCTCCCACCTCTGCCTCCAAAGTGCTAGAATTACAGGTATGAGTCATTGTGCCTGGCCTAATTTAATTTTTTTAGTTCCTTACTATTTATTATAGAAATTTCAAACAAAACCAAAATAAATAGAGGAGTATAAAGAACTCTGTGTGCTTACCATCCAGCTTCATTTCAGTAATTACCTATATTTTGCCAAACTTCTTTCATTTTTATCTCCATTTCATTTTTTTTCTCCCTACCAGAGTATTTTAAAGCAGTTCCAAATGTAATATCCTGTCATCTGCAGATATTTCAGTATGTATCACTAATGATAAGATCTTTTTAAAGAATGTCATAATTTCATTATGACAGCTAGTAAAATTACAATAATTCTTTAACATCATCTATTCTCCAATCAGTCTTAAAAATGTCTTTCCGTAGTTAGTTTTTCTGAGTCAGAATCCACGCAAGATTCATAGATTGCATTTGGTCATGTATCTCTTAAGACCCTCAATTTATGGCAATTTTTAGTTATGTTAAGATTGATTAATGAGGCCTCCCAGGTTAATGTATTCCTCATTAAACTTTGACCTAAGGTTTTTAGCTTTGGGTGATGATTGTTTAAATCACTTACTCCATAAGTGTTGCAAAATACATGTTTTCTAATTTTATCAATCCTTTTGAATTTATTAGCCAGAATTCCGTAGCAAATTTTTCCTCATCAACTATTTGGTTACCAGAAAATACAGTTCATATAGTAATGGCAAGACAAATGCTTGTTTGTTTTTGCCAGTTTTTAGCATAGTGGTCTACCTCCATTAAGTGGTTTCCTAATCAGCTTCCAAAGGTGGACAGGGTGTGGTGGTGGTGTTGTGGGTTTTTCTTCTGTCATCATAAATTTAGGGATTTAACATTTTTGATATGTTTCAATCCATCATGGTCATTCTTCCTCAAGATGGCTTTTGTGTATTATTCAAGTAGTATTTGATTACTTTTTTGCTTGCTGGTATGATCAGATATCTCAGGCTTCCTTAATATATTTCTTCCCCAAGACCTGAATCAGTCAAGAAGTCCTAGTTTCTTTTTAGTAGGATATGATATTCAGAGACCACAGTCTAGCTACTGAGAGTGCTAATTATAACTACTTCTAGATTTTTCAGTGGATAGAGGTAGAATATATTTTTTAAAGGAGGATAAATCATTATTTTATACTTATAATTCCAGTTCAGATTGTAATGTTTTCATCTCACATATTTGATTCTAAATTTTGTTTTTTTTAATTTAATTTTTTTTTCAGGGGGTGGGGTTGGAGGCGGATGGAATCTTGCTCTGTTGCCCCAGGTAGAGTGCAGTGGTGCCATCATAGCTCACTGCAACCTCACAATTTCTGGGCTCAAGTGATCCCCCTGCCTTAGCCTCCTGAGTAGCTGGGACTACAGGCATGTAGCACCACAGCTGGCTAATTTTTCTATTTCTATTAGAGACGGGGTCTCACTCTTGCTCAGGCTGGTCTCGAACTCCTGAGCTCAAGTGATCTTCCCAAATGTGCTAGGATTACAGGTGTGAGCCACCATGACTAGCCTATATTTTATTTTTCCTTTATTCTAAATATTTTGATTAATCATGATGTTGATGCAATTACTTCTTGGCTTTATTCTACAGTACACACCTATACACATGATCACACACACACATACATTCAAATAGCTTGAAAATATAGTCTGAGATTATTTTATCATTCTTTTTGTTCTTAGAATATAACATACCAGAGATGAATAGTCCCTGGTAGGTGTTTTAAAATCACTTGAAATAATTGATATGATTATGTTACCAACTTGATATACAGATATATTTATTTGTTTCATTTATTTAATTTTATCTTTATTTTGGATGATTACTTTTTCTTTTTTCTTTCAATTGTGTTTTCCAATTAGGTATAATATTTACATAAAACTATAAGACATAGATTTCCCTCTTCTATTCATATTTCCCACTCTTCTTACAGAAAATATGATACTATATATCCGTTTCTGCACTATTCTTTTTCATTGAATAATAATATATCACTGTGATGACTCCATAGTAGTTGATAGTTTATTTAGCTAGTCCTTTCTGTGGAGGCATTTGATTTTTCCAATGTTTTACTACTATAAATAGTTCTTCATACAAGTGGATCTACCATTTGATCCAGCAATCCCATTACTGGGCATCTACCCAAAAGAACAGAAGTCACTCTATGAAAAAGTCACCTGCACTCGAATGTTTATAGCAGCACAATTCACGATTGCAAAGATGTGGAAACAACCGAAGTGCCCATCAATACATGAGTGGATTAATAAAATGTGGTATATGTGTACCATGGAGTATTATTCAGCTATAAGAAACAATGGTGATATAGCACCTCTTGTATTTTCCTGGATAGAGCTGGAACTCATTCTATTAAGTGAAGTATCGCAAGAATGGAAAAATAAGTACCACATGTACTCACCAGCAAATTGGTATTAACAGATCAACACCTAAGTGGACATATAGGAATAACATCTATCAGGTATCGGGCAGGTAGTGGGGAGGGGATGGGTATATACATACATAATGAGTGCGATGCCCACCAACTGGGGGATGGACACACTTGAAGCTCAGTCTCCAGGGGGGAGGGGGGCAAGGGCAATATACATAACCTTAACATTTGTACCCCCATAATATGCTGGAAAAAAATTAAAAAAATAGTTCTTCAGTAATTAGCTTTTATAGAGTATGCATAAAGATACATACACATACAACACACAGTTTTCTTATAATTAATTGTATTATGTTAGTTCCACAGAAATTTATTAAGTGTTTGCAATGTGCTAGGATATAAAGATAAATAAAACCTGGCCCCAACACTTGAGGTTTTATAGTCTAAGATGATGCAGAATAAAAAGAGAAATTTTACATTTTTCTTCCTTTGATTATTTAATTTTTCAATTTTTAATTAATCCAGATGGTGTTACTTTTATATTAAATTTTTATTTATGAATGTATACAGATACCAATGGCTATAATTTTCTACTATATTTGATTATAGTGATAACAACTTCATTCAGTTTATAAACTGTATAATCAAAATGGTGTGTTTTGCTGAGCTGATTTATGTTTTCCTAAAGGCAGAATTCACAATGACAACAGTGACAGTGACCACAACCACAGAAATTCCCCCAAGGGGTAAGATAGAAGATAATTCTGCCTTGTATGATTCTGCATCGGCTCACATTATCGAAGAAACTGAATATGTGAAAAAGGTACGTGGGTGCCAGAAATCATTAGCGTGAGATGATTTTTTGAAGATAAATTCTGGTATGGATTGGTGGGCTCTGTTTCCGTCTCCATAGAACATATAAAAAAGAACAAACTTAATTTGGCCAAAGACAGTGCTGGTAGCTGAAACGCATACGTACTGATTTCTCTGGAGGATATGAAACTGTTCCTACACGTGGAGTGAAATGATTTTCTTCACTCAGTAAAATTGAATAATAGGCCAGAAGGGTTCTGAACACCTATCAGCATTTAATTTGTCCCACACTATTCACCACTGGATTTCCTACTGTTTTATAATGTCTCCCAATTGTTTCATGTGCGTCAATAGCGTTCCCAAGTAGATGTTTATGTTTCCTGCTGGGTTTGTGTGTCTCCCTGCCTTGTTCCTTTTCACAGTTCAGGGTAGCGATTGCCAATGAGTACATGTTGGCATGTTACTTCATTACACACGTGAGGTCTTATGAGAATCCAAGATGATAATGGCCGACAAAAGCATTAATATATACTCTTATTAACTGTTTCTTAGAATGGATAGATAAATTCTGGCATAGTTCATAAGGTGTTCAGATCAACCAATTAAGTCATCTTTGAGTATCTTGGAATTCCAGAGGCCATCAAGCCATGGGGCTTATATTTTATGCATAAATTTGTATGATCACTTAGTGATTATTCTGTAGTAATTGCTTAATAGTAATTATTTTGTAGTAATTACCAGATAGTAATTATTTCGTAGTAATTACTAGATAGTGATTATTTTGTAGTGATTACTAGATAGTAATTGTTTTATAGTAATTACTAAACAGTAAATTAGTACTAAATTACTAGATAGACAAAATAGAATTAAATAGTATTAAGTGCTAATTACTAAATAATAACTATTTTGTAGGATAATATTCACTTAGGTTATTATATTTTAGGTTTGTCTGAGAAAGTTATAAAGACAAAATGCTTATCTTTGGCAATCTAGACAATATAAGCCTTACAATATAAGTGCTAGTTAAGTTGACAGCAGTTATTAAAATCTGAAATCAATATATATGTACTTTATAGAGATATCAGGTACCCTATAGCTGACACTGAGAAAAAAGCATTTGGTATTAAATGCCTTTGAAAGAAATAATGTTTTTTTCTCTTCTAGATTCGAACTACTCTGGAAAAGATCCGAAATCAAATGTTTAAAGATGAAGTAGGACATAACAGTACAAATCACAAACTAGATGTAAAGGTAATACATTTATCAACATTTACTACTTTGCTTCCTTAAGAAAATTAGCATAAAGCCATATAGATTTTATTTCAGTAACTTTTTTGGTTAATTATTAAATTCTCTGAAGCTTTGCATGATGAATGGTAAAATATCCTAAAGATGTGTATCTAAAGATGTTAATGGCCATATACGTGAAATGTTTAACTACAGATGTCATTAGTAGGATCGATCAGAATGACCAGACCTTACTTGAATATATTAAATGAGGCCAACTTATCTAAAGCATATGGGATAATGTCAGCCCAGTCTAGATACATGACAGTAACATTTCCTGTTGACAGACAAAGATACGAGCTTTTAGATTCACCTGGACACACGTTTGAAGCCTTCAGACCTGAGCTGAGTGAGGATGTTGTCAGATAGTCAATAAACTTAAATGCACTCCCTTCCCCAAGACCAGACTTATAGACCTAAGGTCGAGCAATGTGCACTTAGACTTGTCTGGGTTATGCTGGCTTAAACCACACCTGAGCCAAGAGTACCTCATCTGTGTTGTCCACTGCACACGGTGGTGGCCGCAGAGTACACCAGAACACAGGGCATGATACATAAACATCATCCCCTTCCTCATCCTCAGCCTCCTAAGCTAACACAGCTTGCTTCAGTTATTTTCCAAAATAAAGGGCTTTGAAACTAGAAACAAAAAAGGTTATGTTTGGAAATGATGGAGAAGGTCAAAAATTAAGTTTTGACTATGCTGAGCTATCTGTTAGACCTCCACGTGGAGGTTTCTAGTAAGCAGCTGGACATATGATTCTGGAGTTGAGGGCAGAGGTCTGGGCTGGAAGGTCCAGGCTACTGGGTAGAGATTTGGGACGTAGGGATGGTTTTTAAAGTTCTGAAACTAGAAGAGATTACCAAACAAGGGAATATAGATAGAAGTGACAGAAGATCTAAGGACTGAGTCCTGAGGTTTCCTAGATGTTAGGAGAAAGAAGAGCCATCCCAGGAAGCTGAGAAGAGAAGCCAGTGGATTAGGACAGAAAGCAGGAGGAAATGGAGCCACTGAAGGTGAGTGAGGAAAGGCTTTCAGAAAGGGGAGAGGGACCACTCTGTCACGTGCTGTACATTGGTCCAGAAATTGAGGCCCAAATACCGACTATTGGCTATAACAATATGGAGGTTATTGGTGGCCTTGACGGGAGTAGCTTCCTAGAAATAAGGATGACATTGTGTCACAGCCATGTGTCTGCCTTTGCCACCTCAAATCACAGATGGTCAGCAGATCTGAGCATCCAAATATCAGCCCCTGGCCCTGTAAAGATTTCCCCGTAATGATCTAGGTCCTTGCTGCTCCCAAGTCTGGTCTATGGCCTTAGCAGCTCCACAGCCCCAGGACTTTGTTAGAAACACAGCATCCGGGGCTTCTGATTCAGAACCCACATTTTTAACCAGGTGAGTTGCATGCACATTACGGTTTGAAAAGCATTGATTTGTGACCTTTGTAGCCACCTTCCATTGCCGACAATCTACCTTCTACAAGAGTCTTTCCATCAAATATTCTTTTACAAATTAAGAAGGAAAATAACTCCTACTCTGTATTTGGAGAGTGAGAATGTGCACCCAGATCATCTGGACTATAAAACACAAAACCGTGACAGGATATTATCTGCGTGCACTACATTCTTTGTGTTTTTTATTTCTATAAATGTAGTCAGAAAGAACATAGGCTTTGTGGTGACACAAACTTGGATACTAATTCTGGTTCTGGCAGTTATTCTAGGTTTAAACTTGGATATATTAAACTCTCATCTTCAATTTCATCATCTGAAAGAAGGACATAGTAGTACCTTCTAGTGTTTTGAGTATTCAGACAAAGGAGTGTATATATTACATCTAAAAGATGTCCTGGCATATAATAGGTGCTTAGCAAATAGAAGTTGTTATTGTAATTGTAGGGTCTGTGTGTAACTGGGTAATAATTTCTCTGTCTACCTTGAAATACGTTGAAAGAGCAGAAAGTGCAAACGGTGGACAATCGATACTTTCTATATCTGTAAATTGATGGGTTAAGTTAGATGTTTCTAATCTCTTTTTCACCTCCATATGTCCATGATTCCAAATGAGATTGAAGCTCCAAGTGTATTTTCAGTGAGCTGGAGTTTACATAGAGTTAGAAAGGTAGTAACACTCAGTTCTGATATTTCTGATTGGAAATTTAATTTGAGGTGATTACAATAAAGCATCATTGAACACTGAATATTATGTATTAAAACTATTAATTCTGATTATGTTGATATTAGTCTGTAATGTAATATAACCAAAATATATTTATGTCTACAACTTAAATTTTTAAAAATCTGGCCTGTGGATATTATATATCTCCTAAGAAACACTTAACAGTATATTTGAAACTGTAGGAAATATGAAAGGCATAAAAGATGACCTCTTTTAATGTAAGAATCTGTTAAAATTTGAGCAAATATAGAGGCCAGCTGCCTCACCTGGAATTCTCCGTTAATATTTCAAAAGATTTCTTTTATTTGTGCTGACCTGAATCCTCTTTGATGTATGTATGTAATACTGAGTGATAATTATTGTTGTCAAAGTCTATAGAGGAAGATTATAGTCAGGTCTGAGATTTTCATGTTTCTCCATTTCAGCACTATGGAAACATTCAGAATGGCTCTGATCCTGAAATGGATCCTTCTTGTTGCAGTTTGGATTTGCTCATGAAAGAGATGAAAGGAAAAGACCTACAACTCTTAGAAATGAACAAAGAGAATGAAGTATTGAAAATCAAGGTGCGACTATTAGGAGAAACTTCAAATTTTGTATTTTGAGCCTTTGAGCTAACAGGATAGATTGTTAGCATGCATGTGTCTGTAAAAGCAGAGAGATATCCACACACACTCAAGGGTCCACATGTATGCTCACTTATACAGAAAAGCATTTTTATATTTCACAAATTGAATCTCACTGTTTTATTTTGGAGACTACTTTTGTTATTAAAAAAAATCTTACAAAACTTCAATGGTTATAAAATTTCAGTCATGCAAGTTGAATAAGTTCTAGAGATCCGTTGTACAACCTAGCCCCTATAATTAACAATACTGTACTGTTCACTTACAAATTTGTTAAGAGGGTAAATCTCATATTAAGTGTTTTTACCACGATAAATTTTAAAGTGTTTACATATTTGATAAATGTTATCGCCTTCATAGTCAAATGTCTCATTATTTGTTTAATTACTCTTGTTGAATGCTTTAGATTTTCTTTTATGGGGTTTATTTTGCATGCAGTCCTGCAATGGCTCTCTTGATAGGTAAATCTCTGCAGCCATCCTTGATTATTTCTTTAGATTAAATCCTTGAAAGATTCATGGCACTTTAGCTTTATTCTTCTTAATATTTAACCTTGTCCTTATTTCAGGAGCATGCACCTTTTAGTACTGTTGTGGCCATTAAGGATAAAAGCCTTGCAAATAAGTGCTTAAGCTGATAGGGTACCAAGGGATTCTTTAAAGGGTGAGGTCTATAGCTGCAGGGCATTGCTGCCTGGGAGCTCTGGTTTGGCTTGGCCAGGGCAAATCTGCTATGTTGACAGTCCCTCTAAGTAGGGGTGTCTCATTTTACATTTCCTTTTACCAGATAGAAGTGTCTTTTCTTCTAGCCATTGCTTAGGAGGGTACAGCCTCTGTGTTTTCAATTGCCTGTTAAATGTTCTGTCTTTAACCCTTTTTGTGGTGTCAAAACATGCACAGTGACCTTCTGTTCTAGCTGGAAGCCTCCAGAGAAGCAGGAGCAGCGGCTCTGAGAAACGTAGCCCAGAGATTATTTGAAAACTACCAAACACAATCTGAAGAAGTGAGAAAAAAGCATGAAGACAGTAAACACTTACTCCAGGTACCAAACGCATAGCTTGTTTATTAGAGAATTAGCCCCCACTACCCCCTACTTGCAGCTGGAGCAGTTCAAGTCCCCCTTTTAGGAGGAGTTAGATATGAAACAAGCAATGGCCAAATGACTTTTGTGTGCTGATTCCCCCTCCTGCACCCTCCCCCCGACACTTAGCTGACACCCAGATGTTGCAGAGCAACTGTGTTGTCCCTATTCTTGCCCAGAGCTCCTGTGAGCACATGTGGAGGGTGGCAGGGGCACCCTGCCTGGGAACCAGGGCTGGCCCAGCTGAGCCTGAGCCTGGCGGTGACTCCTCTTCCAGTTTTGCCCTTGACTCACTAGATGACCAAGGCTGAATCATTCTACCTCTCTGCACTTGAGTTGCCTTGTCTCTGTAATAAAAGAGTTGGATTAAACAAATGGTTTCAAAGTTGTTTTGGTCCTGGAATACATTCTCCAGATTAAAAAATAATAAAAACAGGCCAGGTGTGGTGGCTCACACCTGTAATCCTAGCACTCTGGGAGGCCGAGGCAGGAGGATCGATCAAGGTCAGGAGTTCGAGACCAGCCTGAGAAAGAGTGAGACCCTGTCTCTACTAAAAAAAAAAAAGAGAGAGAGAGAGAGAAAAATGATCTGGACAACTAAAAAATATATATATAAAATTAGCCGGGCATGGTGGTGCATGCCTGTAGTCCCAGCTACTTGGGAGGCTGAGGCAGGAGGATTGCTTGAGCCCAGGAGTTTGAGGTTGCTGTGAGCTAGGCTGACATCATGGCATTCTGGCCTGGGCAACAGAGCCAGACTGTGTCTCAAAAAAAATAATAATAATAATTATAAAAACAAAACAAACAAAAACATGAATTTATGTGTGTATATAAAAATACATATAAAATATGTATTTTTATATATTTTAAAAAATAAATAACATGTACACCCACTCATACATATATGGTTTTTGTTTGTATTTAGATCTGAAGTATGTATACTAGGACCAATAAAACTCTGTCTGAAAAATGTATTCTAGAACTAGAGGAGAAAAAAACGTGTGTATATGTGTGTGTGTTTGCTGAAATTCAAAATGTAAAATAGCTAATGGGGAAGTTCATTGGTGCCGAGGCGGGGCACCTGGGTGTCTGCCAGCTCAGGCTTCAGGAAAGTTCCCAAGGGATTTCCCACCGTGACACCCTCTCCGGCTTCAGGTGGTGGTGATGGTCGAAAACTCACCTGTGTGCAGGGTGCAGATGAGAAACACAAGCGAGAGAAGTGAAAGGGCAGGTGTGGATGGAGCGGTGCACCGTGTGAGCAGTGGGCGTTGGGGGACGGATGCCTGTGTCCCCCGTAATGGGGGCTTCAGACCCAGCCTGGAGTGGCCCGCAGGAACTTCCCCCTGGTGTTTTCAGGGGAAGTCGGACGCTTTTACTTTTCACTGTGAAATCTCAAGTTGTGTTAAGTACACACGGGGCAGTTAAGAAGCCTGTTGAAACACCCCCAGTGTGGCCTGTATAGGGCTGGAGATTCTCTTCTCTGGGGTCTTTGAGCACAACCCTGCTCTGTGCCTCTGAAGTAACCCCACGACACACTGCACAGAATTATTTTGCTTTTCTGATGCTTTCTGATTGAAAAAACTAAACATTTTTTAGTTGGACATCAAAATATTTTGTTTCAGATCATTTTTATTGGGGAAAAGTCAAAACTTTTGCTTTTCTTAGATTAATATCTCCCTTTCTTATACCAGTCCAGGAAGTATGTTTTATGGTAACAAATGTAAACATTCTAGGAAGAATATTTACACATTATTAATTCTCTACTGATTTAGTGTTGTAGTCTATCGGGTTTATTTTGAAGGAAACACTGAAATCAAAAGAGTAATTCTAAACAAGTGTTAATTCTTAAATTTTTTTGATAATTAGAAAATTTTGGAGGGATGTAATATGTGCATAGGTTTAAAAAAAACAAGAGTTTGATGACTATTTTTCTGATCAAAGGTTAACAAGCTCGAAGAAGAACAGAAATTGAAACAACAGGTTGAAAATCTGAATCGAGTCACTGAAAAACTTGAAGAAAAACACAGTCAAATCACAGAATTGGAGAACTTTGTACAGAGAATGGAAAAAGTAAGCAAGTAAGCCATTAGAGGAATTTTTTCCTGACAGAGTTAGGATGAGAATGACAGAAAACAACAAAAAATAAATAGGACATTACATTAAATAAGATAATGTTAAGTGGAAGCACTCTTTATAATACCTGGTCTTAGGAAGTAATCAGTAATATTAGTTTCTTCCTTAAACATTTAACAGGAATTGTAATGTAGTTATTGATTTACCTCTCAGCAAATACTGTAGTCATTCCATCTATCACTTTTCTTCTTCTTCTTCTTTTTTTTTTTTTTGAGACAGGTTCTTGCTCTGTCACCCAGGCTGGAGTACAGTGGCATAATCATAATTCACTGCAACATCAAACTCCTGGCCTCAAATGATTCTCCCACTCCAGCCTCCTGAGTAGCTGGGACTAATGGCATGTGCTATGATGCCTGGCTAAGTTTTAAATTTTTTGTAGAGATGAAGTCTCACTATGTTGCCCAGGCTGGTCTTGAACTCCTGGGCTTAAGCAATCCTCCTGCCTCAGCCTCCCAAAGGGCTGGGATCACAGGCCTGAGCCCCGACACTTGGCTCTCACTTTCTCTTTCTAGTAAATGTCTTTCTTAGAAAGGGGAACCAGATGAGGCTGTAAATGAACATAATGGAAAAGATAACAAAATCTACCTCCTAGGAGTAATAATATTAATATAATGGACCACCAGAGCATTTTTATGTATTAGTGTCAATGCGGTATCCCTTTTTGTCTACCTTGGGTTTGTAAAAATCTGTGGCTGCCCTAGGAGAGACACAGCTCCCATTAAGAAAAATCACTCTACGGTAATTGAAACTTTCAAGAGACACATTTAGGGAAAAGTAATAATACAACAAAAATTATTAAAAGTATACTGTGGTGTTCCTTTAAATAGCTAGCAGTCCAAATACACACAAAAGGTAAACACATCAATTGAATGCACGCCTTAGCATTTAGAATTCAGACAATCAAAGACTATTACTATTTAACAGGAAAACCAAGAAAATTGTCATCTCTAAAACTGAATATGGAATAGGTAAGAATGCAGGATTTGGCTTCTAGTAAATATTGCCCAATAATTTTTTACATTTATTACATTAATTTCCTGATTTGCCTCTGCTCTTCTCAGCTTTAATTTGTTTTATGAGTTTGCCAGGATTTATGCCATTTTATAAATGTCACTTGAAAAGTATCACATTTCAATATTCAGGTTTCTTACCAAAGGAACTTTGATTAGTTTGAAAATATTTCCTAAGAATTTAAAGTTTTATAACACTGTGAACTTGGTTGAATTGATAATCTTAATGAAGGCCCTGAGGCTATCACAAAAATTAAATAATCCCAAACTTAACTGCATTGAATACGAATAATATTCAGCTGTGTCTATGCCATGGGTCACTTAGTGTGTGACTTCAGCAGAATCGCTGGGCTAGAATGGCCTTAAGCAGTTGGTTTATCCAGACATGACAGTTTATAATTACATTGGAAAAACTGTAATATTTGGTTGAGTATTTGGTAGTGTTAGAATGCTTTATCCTGTAATGAATAGTTTAACAAACTGATAGCACAAAGAATGTTTGCATTTAGGAAAGACAGACAATTCTGGGTAACAAATAAGGTGTTTAACCAAACAATTTGATTAAGTTGCTTGAAATTTAAGTTTACACTTGCAATCGCCCTATCTCAAACCCAGTAACACTGGGTCAGGGTTAGTGGCCACATGTCAGGGCCTGAAAATTAGCAAAAGAAGAATAGAAGACAATTTCTTTATTTCCTAGTAACCCTGGGAAATCTGTACTAGATGTGCATTCATCTCAGGGTTATGGGGTGTTACTTACCCAACTGCTTAGTCAATAAATATTCGATCACCTACCATGCGCCACACAAAACTAGGGGCTGGATATATACTTACGAATGCACCAGATATAATCTCTTTTCATGGAGAGTACAATGTAGTATATTGGGCTCATGTGTGGCTCAAAGAACTTCCCAGATCTCCTTTTTTTTTTTTTTTTCTTCATTCTCCTAGGGGTACTTTCAGGAGGCTGATGGTTCTGTTGATGGTAGGGGACTATACCTCAGAATAAAGTTCAGTGGCTCAGGTGCTGGCTGGACGTTTTTGAGAAGTGATGGTCTACCTTCTGCCTAGATATTTGTTTTGTTTTTATCTTCTGCACTGAGCCCATTCTTCTGCACAACTGCCTAGATACTGACCCATGACTGTGGGCTGTCTCTAGGAGCTCTGGGACAGAGCAAGTGGACAGGATGCTCATGGCTCTGCAAAGCCATGCAGCAACCTTCCAGAATATTCTAGTTTAGTGACTTCTTAGAGTGGAGCCTATTGGAACCTCTGGAAGGCAGAAATGAGTGGGGATGGAGGGGGAAGAGCAATGTGCAGGAGTTTTATTATTTTTTAAATATTTGGTTTAAAGATATTTTATATTTATGAAACAAACTGGCAAATAAATAAGGCTATAAGAAGCAAAGCTTGGCAACAACATCTTGTTGGTTTAAGGAGCTAGTGAGAAGATGGGATGTGGGGAAGAGTGTCTCAGGTGGGGAGTGCATGTCAGAACGAGGGGAGGGGGTACTGAACCTCTACATTAATAGAAGAAAGACATGCATTCAAAAAAGAAGTGAACATTAAAAATGAACATCCTCACAAAGGTTGATGAATATTGCCCTGGTAGTAGGTGCCCCCTGGAGACGGATTTATTTGCTACTCACTTGAACAATCCAGTGCTCCCGTAAATGGCCATTAGTGGTATGAGGTCTGGTAATGAACACATTACTTAAAACCTTCGCCATCTGTCCCACTTTAATCAGGAATGCAGTGAGAATGAATTCCATAAACACAGTGATAAGCCAGCAGAAAACGCCCAATCAGAGCATTTTAATATGGCATATGTTCCTTTTGCTGGCAGCGCAATTCTGTTACATCATATTTGTTTTCTAGTGTCATTGATTTAGCTCTATTAGAATTTTAGAGCTCAAAGGCACTTTTGAGACCACCTAGCTCCTCCTCATCCTTTTATAAATGAAGACAGCATGAACCAGAAACTATGCCACAATCCTCTAGTTTCTAGCTCACAACCTTTTCCACCATGCCCCTATCTTCTCTGATGCGGGATCAAAATGATATCCTAGGTTCCTAAATCATTTATTATTGACTGCCCCACTAGAAAAAATTTTTTTCTTTGCGCTCATGGTGTGTTATTACAAAAATAGAATAAAAACTTTGAAAACAAAAAGATCCCTTCTAATTTAATGAAAAATTTGTTATTTTTTATTGTTTTCTGTGCCTGAGTTATATGCAACTTGAAAAATAGTTCATGTGGCTCTCAAGGGGAAGAGATGTGAGTTTCATATGCTTCACGAGGACCCAGGCTCAAAACTAGCGTGGGTTAAATACAACTCACAGGGCAGTTAATGTGTTAAATGGATGTCTACTCCACTTCCATCAATTGGGTGAAACCTGCAGCTCTCCAGAGGTATGGCTCTGGGAATGGTGTGCTGCCCATCATGTGGTGCTGTGATCTCCCTTTCCCTTCCCAGAAGGCACTTCCTGAGAAGTGCCAGCTGGTATGGAATCATTTTCTGTTCTGTCAAAGAGGAGGCGCTAGGAACCCGAGCGAGCCCTGGCCAAGGGAGAGCTTTTCCTTGTTCAGTTGTCTGATCTCCTTGAGCCCTGGTTATGAAAAACCATCAATGAAGAGTAAGTCTGTTAGGAAGAACGTTTGTTAAACACCATTGCCCTCCATTCTGCAAGTTCACAATTTGGTATAATTTGATGATTCTTGCATTTTCATAAGCTCGTGAGGTTTATCTGTGATCCCTCAGAAATAATTTGAACACAACTAGGGCAATTCCAGACAATTTCTGTAGAGCAAGAATGCTATAAGAAAAATTCGAAAAAGTTAATATAGCTTTTAAAAATAACACAGCACATAAGATATGAAGTAATTGGTACCTGTAATGATCATATATTGGGATCCAACTATGTGCCAGGGAAGCATATAGGCCTTTTACATATATTGTCTCCAATCACCCTGAAGTTTCAATATAGGTACTATTATCTCCATTTTAGGGATGTCAAAAAGTTAAAAATATGACTCATACAAATATAGAATGAATACATGTCAAATGATTTAACCAACTCATTAATTAATAAATAGGTCAGTAAGATGGGAACACTGATTTAAATAAAATATTTTGAGAAACTAGCTATTTATAGGCGTTTTTTGGGAAAAGGAATATAGAATAGGATTACTAGATTAAATAACAAAACTGGTTAATGTTCTTTATGGTAATTCATCCATATCCTTTAGGATTCTCTTTTCTACCAGACAGAAATCTACAAATTAACATGCAACTTCACAGAGTCAGGGCTTTCATTAAAGAAATAATAAAGTCAAACACAGAGAAATTCTCTGAGATTGTTAAATAATTATTGGATCAGATTATTAAACAATGACCCACTATGACATGAGAATCACATGCTGTGTATTATTTTTATTTCTAAGTTTTGGTTAATTTTTTTTAACAGTGTTAAGGGATGGAGAAGTTAAAACCTTGGCCCAAATTTTAAAACCAGATCAGTCCATGTGCAAGATCTTTTTGATATTTTTGCTGCACTGCACTACCTTGTATTAATATAATATGCATTCAAATACTGTAGCAGGAAGTGATTTTAAACAGCACTGTAGATAGTTTCAAAACATCTCTTCCGCTTAGTTCCATCCATGTTGCCAACACCAATTCCTGTCTCTTATCAGTCTTTTCTGATTCCCCTCACTTGGCAACCTCAACCAGCAGGCTGAAGTTTCAAATCCCTTTTTTGAGCATATTTCCATCAAATATAAAATGATCACGATCACCCCTGCTTAATTTTTCACGGACTTGTTTATTTATTTATTTAATGGAAAGAATTTGGTTTAATAATTAAGGTGTTTTTTTCAGATATTCTTTCTCAGTGCCATAGTTTCTCCTGTATTCTAATTGGGAAGTAATCTTATCGTTTGTGGTTTTGATCCTTCACCAAAAATACATTTACTGCTTTTCTACTTTCTGACGGATGCCGTGTGAGCAGGTAGAGGTGTCACATGTCCTTAGACACTGACAACTCAGTCTGATGTCAGGGAGGCAGGTGTCATGCAGGAGCGCCAATGCCCAGCAAAGGCTGAGCAGAAGGCTAAGCAGGCTGTTTGGGGCAGGAGGGGGAGAGGCAGGTAGGAAAGGTTTTGCTGCCCAGGCCACAGCCCGGCAGTGGGCTGAAGGAGGAGCAAAAGCCCTCCAGGCAGGTGAGGGAGTGAAGACAGCTACTCTGGGTCTATCATTGAGCTACCCTAAAGCACACAAGAAAATGCCTCATCAGGCTCCCTTGGAGGGAGGCTGTAACAGCTCATACAAAATTAACTCTTTAGCTAAAGGCCATATTTCTAGTATTGCAAGAAAAATTCCTTACCAAACACACACATACACACTCTTATGCAAATAAGCAAAATTTGTATCTTGTTTTCTCCTAGGAAAAGAAAACACTACTAGAAAGAAAACAGTCTTTGGAAAACAAGCTGCTGCAATTCAAATCCAGCCCTACATGTACCAAAAGGTTTGCAGATCTACCTCCTAAATAAAAGCAGTTCCTTGTATCTTTTCACTCCGGTACACTGGCCAGCCAACAGGCGGCTTCCCATCCTCCAAGGAAATAGGAGGACTGAAAGTGCAAGGGGAAGATCAGATTCCTAGGATTAACAATCACGTGCCTGTTTTTCCTCACCCACTAAGGAATCAGGGTGGCAGAGTTCACTGGGGGTGCAGGGGAACTTGTGGGAGGGTTAATCCTTCTGTAGAGTGAACGAGCCTGGTTTACTCTTGGTGCTAAAGAGAATGCTGGCGAGGTCTTCATTCCCCGATGCTTCTGTCTTTGTTAATGAGTCTCTTTTATAGCAGCATTAAACTGGCCAGCCCGCAAGTAGAATTCTAAGATAATTTCATGTTGCTCCTCAACTCTGTCAAGAATGAAAGATGTACAATGAAAAACATCATTAGTACTTTGGACTTACAAATACTCATAATTTACAAGCAGTCACAGTCCTTATTATGCTGGGGCGGATTTGTGGCTATCACCATGACTGTAGTGCTACTCAGCTGCTGTTAGAAAAAGTCTTTGGACTATTTCGTAATAACTCATATCATAAAAGAGAAACTTTCTGAGGTTTTTCTTTTTTTCTTTATCCTAAGCCCACCACAATGATTGTGTAGTCTGATGTACTGATATAATAAAACCAAAAATGAATTAATATCTTGAAATAGACTTGGCTTTGTTGAAAGTCAAGTCTATTTCAAGATCTTAATTCATCCATCTAGAACTACCATTAACTAGAATATCAGGCACCATTAGGGATAAATTCTTATTGTCATTGATTTATTCACTGATATATGCTCAAACATCCCTCTTTGTTTGTCTTTGATTTTTTTCCCCCATTGTTCCCTTTCTTTATTGTTTCTCTCTTTTCATCTGTCCTCATAAGTTGTGCCTTCTGTCTGGCTCATACTCATGCAATTTTGACTGCGTATGCCAAAGTCCAGAAATGGGCTGATCCTGGCAATTGCACACAGACATTTGGAACATATTGGTATACTGGGATACCAATAAGTTATTAATTTTATTATCTTCTTCCCTGTAACAAGAATAGAGCCCCAGAAGGTAGACTTCTAAGATAGTTTTGTGGCACTGCACATCTCTGTAGAGAATGAAGGAAATACTACAGAAAGCATCCTTAGATCTAGGAATAATTTACAAATACTCATAACTTAATTCTAAGTAAATCTTTGGCTTTTTTTTTCTTAAATAGAGCTTTTCCATGTAGTAGAACTACTGGCTTGTAAAATGTGTCTTCCATTAAGAGTACAGGCAGTCTGAGTTTGATTTTTTATTTAAAAATTTTTTTTATTGATAATAGAGCTTTTGTCAGTCTTTGAGTCAACAGTGTAACTGTTTTAAAAAACAAACTGGTCTAGTCTTTCAGTTCTATTATATATGAGCAGCTGTTAAAAGGAATTCTTCGAACTCTTAAGGAAGCTTTAGAAATTTTTGAGAAAAATGGATGTTTTGTGTTTTCAGAAAGATGTTTGAACATCTAGGCTTATGTAATTTTTACAGATTGTAGGTATCACAAATTTTTGTGATTACTTGTTTATTACTTATTGCTTTTTTGAACTGTGTGTAGAGGGATTCACTTTGCTAAGTGACAAGAAAATGAAACCAGTATGAATTAGACTCTTTTGCTTGAAGCAATAGAGATTTGGTTAAGCTACCACAAATAAAGGGGATTTCTGTTAGTTTAAGATTGGATAAATATGGCCATAAATAAGAGGCAGAAAGAGATCTCTGAAGATCTCTTGGACTGGTTTTTTCATTCACCTGTGCGGTAATGAGCAGAGGGCCATTTCCCAAATGTCCCTCTGCTCTGCTACATCACAAACAAATACACAGGCCCATTTTAGAGGTATTTTTTGGGGAAACACATTTGGGGTTTGTAAAAATAAGAAGTGTTGTCTCCTCCATATTTAGTAGGAGCTGCGTAGGGATAGCAAACTCAGAGGTGGAAAGAAGTGGAGGTTGCATGTCAAAGCATAGCATTGCTGCTTAAATTGTACATTTATCTGTGGGATTTTGGGGGGCTTCTCTCAAGCCATCCATTTGCTGCCATCATTGAAAATAACAATGGAGAGGAATTTTATAGTAAGACATATCCCTGAGTTTTGTTGAAACTTGAACAGAGCTACATCTATATGCAAGCTGATTCTTTCCCTTGGTCTGGCCTGGGAATGATAGAATCTGACTTCTTCTATTGTCATGGTGTGGTCCTTAGTCATCCCTTCTTCCACTGGGAACTCACAAACAATGATGTTCACACTCATAGAGGTCCATAGAAACATTATATCCTGAATAAAAGGCAATTTGAGTTTCTATAGATGGTAGTAAGATTTTTTTAAGAAAAAAGATAGCATCAGAGAAGCTGTAGAATGTCACCAATCTCACTATCTTCTTTCTCCAGTGGTAATTCTATGTAGGGGTTATTCATATTTCCAATGCCTGGGTAATGTATAATGTGCCTAGAAGTAGTATCTTGGGGCATGCAACATAATTTCAGTTGCTACTTTTGCTTCCTTCTTCTTTTGTCTCAGTACCTATTGGTTTCTTCTGGAATTTTCATTCCTTATAAACATTATATTGCATTAATTCCTGGTAATAAATGTCCTTTATAATGACCAAAAAAGGTTATATTCTAGGATTTTGTACATATGGCCATGTTCATGCTATTCATATCCTTTACAATTTTATATTTATGTACCCTGAGTTCTAATAAAATTTAAGGAACATGATTACTTAAGTTGGAAATAAATCAGAGGGCGAAGCCAAGGAGATACAAGAATATGTATATAATGAGGTTAGTCTACAAAATATGTACCATGAGGGGCTATAGACTTGTTCCCAATAGACCGCTGACTCAACTTCAAATTTTCCAGCAGCCAACCCAAAGAAAATAATTATGGTTAGGTTGGTGACTCTCAATGTCCACATGATAAAACAAACCAAGTCTTTGGCATAAGTTCAGCTCTTTCTAATATATCTGTGAGGCCAGAAGAAAATTGTCCAGGGTATGCCCATAAAGAGAACCCTAAATAATGTCTTCAACTGAAACTTTGTAATAAACACAGAGGCTGTAGCTCAGATCATCCTCTAAAAAAAGGATAGCACGATGCCAAGGAACAATTCAGCCAGAGCCATCATAACAGTGAGGGCCAGCGGGCAATGTGACAAGGTCCAACAATGCTGCTCTCTGATGGAGTAGGTCGACCTATGTAGGAGTGGGGAACTTGCAGCCTTCTGGTTTCGAGATTGTTCTCTTTTAAGCACCAAAGGAGGCAAGAAAAGCTTCATCTTTCTCTGATGCACCTCTTTTAATAAAGGGATTTGGTCTGAAAAATGTGGATTCAATCAAAAAGACACATGTGGCCACAGGTTCCCCACCTCTGAGTGGGTGGGGCCTTCCTTTCTTGAATGCTAAGGAATCAAACAGGAAGGAAAACAAATGGTATTCTCTTCACTCTCCTTTCGTGAAGAATTAAGAGAGCTTCAATTTCCTCCATCGAAAGGGTAGGGCCAGATTCTTTTCTATTTTTCTTGGGGACTTTTCTGCCGGTTTCTACTGACATAACCAGGCTGTCCTTTTCAGCTCCAAGTCTGGGATATTTGAAATAAAAAGAAAACCCAGGGAACTCACCACCATGTTGTTCCTTGGGTCCCAGGTCCCCAGCCAGTCTGCCTCCTTCTCATCACTGTTCAGGGTGTTCTTCTGCTGGTTTCTGTACAACGTCTAGGGCTTTTAGTTGCACTTAGTGGGAAGAACAGGGAAAAAGTATGTCTTCTCCATCTTCTCAGAAGTTAGAAGTGTTTCAATTCTGTTTTAATGTCAACATTTACTTTCTTTTGTATTCAGCTGCATTGTAAAGGAAAACCTTGATCAAAAATTATATTGAGACCTTTGGAGGCAGAGGATGAATCCTAGATTCAGACACTGGTCAGAAGGGTTTTGCTCCTTTTCCTAGACTTGGCCCCTTGTCATGTGTTCTTCCTCTTGTTTTCCTGTGTGCCTCTTTGTCAAGACTGAGTGCTTTAACTCAAAGATAAATAACAAAGCTTAAAGGAAGCTCAAGTGGCAGCTTACTTAGATATATTTTCACACTTAAAGGCCTTAAATGGATGACTAGGTTTCATATTTATCAAATGATCCAAATAGAAGGTTTCTGCAGTGACCTTTAGTCACTGCTTTAGTGTATTAATGAAGATAAGTTAAGCCCCCAAACCCTGTGTTTTCAAGAGTGCTTCTGGAAATATCTTTCTTTCATCTTGAGACTGTTTTCAAATTTGTATTTCTTTACGGTGAACTTCGTGGTAATATCTTCAAGGAACACATGGGGAAATTTTTTGAGCTTAGTATTTTTGGTAGCATAGTATCAATCCCATCCCCCTTTCTAAAAGCCATGTCTTCTCATTGGTTCCAAGATTCTGGGTCATGGCCACAATGAGAACCATTTTCAATATTCACTTTAACAGTTCACAGTATTTTTATATTTCAGGCATATTCAAAGATTGCTTGCTTCTGCAAAGCATCAAGTTCTTTCTTATTATTTCCCAGGGAAGTCCTGAGTCTGACCATTAAGTAGGTCATTGCTGCTCTTTCCTCATTTTTATTTTCTTTTTTTTCCTTCCTCACTGGAGCAATTGTGAATTTTAGCACCAGCTGTGGGCCGGATTTCTGCCTTCTGTGCTGTTTTGATCCTTATGTCTTCAGCTCATTTTTTCTTAGTGCCTGAGGTTTGGGTTTTTTTTTTTTCTTTCTTTCTGAAGCTCCCCACTTCGCCCATCCTCTGAATGTTCTCGGCATCTCTACCTTCCAGGGGTTCTGAACATCACCCCTAGATTTCTCAGCCATGCCCCTCACACGCTCCCAGTTTCCTTCAACTTCTGAGGACCCCCTGCCCATGAAGATTCTCTGTAGGTGTGAGCCCCTTTCACTCGAATATCTGAATGTTTGCAAACTTTAGAGTCTGGTCTGTCCTTGAAGGGCTCTGAGCTCTCCTTGACTCTGTCCTTAGGGTGCTGAGATCCGCCTGATGGGGGGTCCTGAAATCTCCTCAGGCTCCTGTACCCTTGGTAAGGAAGCCTCTGATCCTGGAGTCCAGGGACAGCTAACATTAATGTTGATACATTATTAATATTAACATTGATGGTGCTGATACAGCCCTTCCCTGAACTTGAATTTTAGAAATGCTGCCAGGGCTGAGAGTCACTGCTATTCTGAATTCGAATTCTATAGGCACAAAACATTTTCATCCGAATCAGACATCCAGTTTATTTCTTTTCAAATGCTTCCTCCTATGAACTGTGGACTGGAAAAACAATGGACTGATAGTCCTCCTTCAGCCTGAGTTGACAATCTATATTTCTTTCATAACTTTTCGCAATTTGATAGTTGCTTGTAGTGTAATCTCCCATGACTCTATGAAACCAGTTGAAATAGGGCTTCTGTTTTAATGACAGCACATCTTCTACCTTTAATCTACTGTGTCTTTGCTAATTTTCAAAATGGCTTGGTTTTGTATGTTGATTGCTTTTTTTATTTCAAAAGTAATACCAGCCCATTATGTAAAAAATTTTAAGGTAAAATAGCAATCTTCAAAATTAAAATGGAATTCTCCTGATTTCCATCACTGAAGGTTAAAAACCATTTAATTGGTTAGCCTATATCCCTTCAAAGTCTTTTCTATGTTTAAACAAATATCGAAAAAGACACACATGCATTTGAAGTATGACATACCTACAGAAATGTGCACAGAACATAAATATACATTTTAATGGCCCGTTTAAAAGTGAATACCTGGGTTTAAACAAAACCTGGGGCAAAATAACAGAACATTGGGAGATTTCCTGAAGTGGACCTGCTTCCTGTGCTGTATGCCATGTTCCTTACCAACCCAACTCAGTTTTTCTCCCCTGAAAGTAACCACTATCTTGACTTTTATTGTAATCATTTCCCTGATTTTCTTTATCTATCTCTAAACACAATAGTTTATTTTTATCCAGTTTTTATTTTTAACTTTTATAAGCGGCACCATGCATCTATCTTCTTTTGCTCTATATTACGTTTTTGAGATTCATTCAAGGTGTTACGGTTATCCATAATTCTAAGGCATGTGTGTGAATATACCATAATTTACTTATGCATTCTACTGTTGATGAACATTGGATTATTTCCAGATTTCAGTGTGCACAGAGCTTCTGTAAACATTTTTGTATTTCTCTCCTAATGCGCACATTGTATGTATACTTCGGAAAAGAATTACAGATCATCTGTTAACTATGGTAGAATATGCCAGTTTTCTAAAATGACTATACCAATTTAACTTCCAATAGCAGTGTATGAAGTTCCTGTTGCTCTGGATCTTTGGCAAGGCTTAGTATTCTCAGTCTTGCTAGATAAATTTTAGCTATTTTTGTGGTTGTATGGAGAAATGTGTGTGGGGCTTTATTTTGTACCACTTTGAATATTAGTGATATCTGGTATCTTCATATGCTCATTGGCTATTTGAATAGTCTTTTTTGGTGAAGTCCCTATCCAAGTTACTACTGGGATGTCTGTCCTATTGATTTGTAGGCATTCATTATATATTCTGGATTCTGGATACAGTGTCTTTATTAGTCATTCGTGTTGCCAATATTCTGAGGCAATCCTATTCACTCTCACTTGATAACTAAAAGTTTTTGGTTTTAATCTAGTCAAATTTATTAATCTTTCTCTTTATAGGTAATACTGTTTGGGGTACTATTTTAAATGTCTGTCTCTACTCCAAATTCATGAAAATGCTCTCTATATAATCTTATGAAAGCTTTTTAATGTTTATTTCATAGTTTTATTCATAGTCTACATAGAATTTATCTTTATTGTGAGGCGAGGCTGGGATCAATTTTCTTTCCATTTTTCTTTTTTTTATATGAATATCCAGTTGTCTCAGCATTTGTTGAAAAGACCATTCTTTCTGCAAGATTTTATAGAACCACCTTCATTATAATTCAAGTCTATTGATCTATCTATGGGATGTATATGTGTATGTAAAATAAAAGTGACATGGATATGCCATATATTTTTTCAGTTTTCTATTTATGAACATCTAGATTTTTTTCCATTCTTTTAAGCTACAAACAATAGTGAACTTTTACATATATTTTATGACATATATGTTGTATAATTATACTTTCATAGGACAAATTGTTTAATTCCACAGGTTAGTTAAATAGTAATGGCCATCATTATATATTATTTGTACTTGTGCAAGGATTTCTATAGTTTTATAGAAATTAGTGTTCTACAGTAAACCAAACTTCTTCATAGCTATCTTATGCAAAGCCAAAAGAGGGAAAAAAGCTAAAAGAATGCCTATTGCGAGTTGCCTGCCAATTACTTATTTTCTGAGAAACTATATTGTAGGCAGTACTAAAAGTTATTATTGATATACTCTTAGTGGTTTAGTGTTATATGACTCAAAGCATGGTCCATGGACCAGCAACATCATGGAAACATCTGGAACATGCTGTAAATGCAGTCTCAAGCCCTATACTAGCCCAGTGAATGAAAATCCGCATTTAACAAGATCTCCTGATGTATATTAAATGTGAGAAGCAATATTTTAGGATATGTTGTAAGACAAAATGGAAGCTAATAACTCATTTTTTTCTAATGAGCATATGTTCTGGTGTATTATATGAATTTCCATGATCTTTGTAATATATGTAGAGGCTATAAAAAGACAGAATTGGGATTGCATTGGACAAGGGCAAAGGTTGCATGACTTCTTCAAGGTCACAATGCTCCCAAGCTTGGTGGTTCTGCCATAATGTACATTGCTTCATAACTCTAATAATATTGCCAAGAACAGAAATAGCCAACAGCTGTATAATTAATTCCCATTACCCAAATGGAGCTGTGAGTAAGTATGAATAATCTAAATTCAAATTTGACCCATTTTTTTTTCACAGTGGTTGATATGGACTCAAAAAATGTTAGCTAAAATTTAATTTCTTTCTATGATTTTTTTTCCTTTCCCTACTTATAGGAAGTAAAATTACCAAAAAGTAGGAAGCCCCCACATCCCCCTAAAAAAGTCAAACACAATCCACAACATGTGCTAAACCGAAATCAATGGAAATTGGTTTCTGATGTGTATGTGAAAATCTCCATTCCTGCTCTCATGTTCTGACCCTGCTATTCCCATGTAATTATCTGTGAATTTTAATGGCTGCCAGGTCTGGGGGTGCTCATAGGCAAGATGACTTAGTCATGTAAGCGCTTCATCCCACTCAATACAGCTTGACTCTGCTACCTGCTAGAGGGAGTCACAGATGGCCAGAGAAGAGCTTTTGACAGGAATTGATATTCTCATTCAAGTTCATGTCTGAGCAAGTCAGAGGCTGCTTCATAGCTATATATCTTCAGAATGTCTCTTGCAGAATATGGGGCCCCCTGGGGTCTTACCTGCACGATGCCCAGTAGCAGTGAAGAGTGTGAGGAAGGCCTGGCACAAGCAGTAAGAAAGAGCTGTTAGAATGTGCGAGCAAATCTTTTATTTTTTTTCCCCTTTCTCTCTCTTTGTTTTTGTTATTTATTTATTTATTGTATTCCCAGTTGCCGGGATCTTCAAATGGAGATTTCCACTCTCCAGGAGCAAATCTCTCATCTGCAGTTTGTGATTCACTCCCAACATCAGAACCTGCGCAGTGTCATCCAGGAGGTCAGATTAATCAAGCGTATTTCTCTGGTAGATGGTATGTTTACAGCGTGAAGCTGTAATGAGATTTTTTTCTCCCCACTGGCATATCCTTTTTGTGTCTCATGCGACATGGCTCTGTTTTCCATGCCCGCTCTTGTCTGTAACGCCAACACCCATAATGTTCTCAATGAAGATGGTCTGGGAAATTGTGTTTAACGAGTTTTTTAAAGGATGTTTTGGTGATTTTCGAAAGAAAGTGTTCAGAGCTGGATTATGTTCACTGTTTTTTAGATTTCGTAGATCAGGGGATTCAACTTTTCCTTGAGTGAGAAATGGTCTATTTTCATAGCCTTATAGACAATTTATTTAGGAGATGTTTTAGGGTAGGGTATAGCCTGGGTCTTCTCTGGGAATATCCTGGCAAGTGAAAGGAGAAGAGGTGATTGTGGGAGCAGTCAGGTAGATGGTGGACTGTATGAGTATTTAAGGTCTACTGTACCCCTATAATACGCTAAAAACAAACAAACAATTACAAACAAAGAAGATCTACTTCAGTACACATATTGATCTGATACCGGGTCTACTTTAAATTTAAAATCAGACTTGTATTCAATTATGTTACTGCCTACTATTTGTTTCCAAAAGGAGTTCTTCCAGATATCCCTAATGCCTTCCTGACGTGGACGTAGCATTTGTGCTTACTTGGCTATGACCTCACCAGAGAGCCAGAGAACTGAGTAGTAGAATCTGAAATCCAAGAGGAACCTTGGGGCATCCCATACTCCCATTTTACAGATGGGAAACCTAAGTCCCTGGGTGACTCAGTGACAGAGCTGGGGGTGGCAGAGTTGGTCTTAGAATCCATGTGTCCCCTCTCTTCCTGCTCCACTTTGCATTCATCACCCCACCTACAAAGTCCACATTACCTCTTGGCAAAGCAGGCTCACCTGGGTTGCTCGCTGCTGGTTGACAGGACCTCTGCCTCAAGGAGTCTCTGCACACCAGGTGGTGGCCTTGCCTCGTGTCCCCAGCAGCTGCATCAGCAGGATCAGAGAACGTTAAGGTTCTGAGCCACGGACGACGGCCAGTGCTGTTTTGCACAGGATGTGCGTCTGCCGAATGTGATTTAAACAGGTCATCCAAAGATTAGAGTGTCCGACAGCGCCATCCGAGGGCTTTCATCCCCAGGCGCCAATTTGGTCTGCTATTTTCTGTAGCCTGCCGAGCCCGCTGATGCTTTGGGATTTCATTGTTTTAATTTGAAGATCATCATTTGACCTCAGAAATCTGTACAATTTCTGACTTAAGTAACTGTTCCCTGTGGTCTGACAAGGTTTTATGCACTTGTGTTTTCTAATTCTTAGATAGAGGGATTAAAAAGTAATTTGAAAGAACAAGATAAAAGGATTGAAAATCTGAAAGAAAAAGTGAACGTACTGGAAGCCCAGGTAAGGAGGAAATCTGCTTTACATTTTGATGTGAGTGTATGTGTTTATCTCTGTTTGCGAGGGTATCAGTGAGCCCGTGTACTGTATACGAACATGTGTGTGTGTGCTTGTATGCAGTGGTGTGCCTGTGGGACCCGGCAAGTATGTCTGTATGTGCATAGGCGTGTGCGTCTGCGTGTGATTGTGTGTGACTGTGTCTATCCATGCCTAAGTATACGTGCATGTGTCTCTGTGTATGTCCAAGTGTCTTTGTGAGTGTGTGTATGTGCATCTTCCACATATAAGAAATTATAGCTCTGGAGGGAAGCATTAATACTTACTAATTGTTAAATTAGTAATTTAAATTAATAATTGTCAAATTATTATTAAGTATTTTATTAAATTATTAATAGTATTAACATTAAATATTAAGTAAATATTATTAAATCATTGTTAAAGGTTCATCACATTTTCTAGAACATTTGTATTGGAGAGATGGTTGATAAGCTCTCTCGACATGGATTTGAATTAGAAGCTTGGTCAAGGCCGCTCTTGCATAAATTCCACTCTAGCCAGATGGCCAGGCTTCCTGTGTCCTGCCTTTGCTCCCACGCATGCTTCTTTTTTGACCTGGGGTGGCCTCCTTTCTCCTCTTTCTTCATCCATATCCATCCGTCCAAGCTTTGATTCTGGGCTTGCCCACTTCCAGAAGCCTGTTGTAATTGTCTTGCTTTTCAGTGTTTTAAAACTTAGCATAATGCATTCTAATTTACTGGGATAAGACATGCTTTTCTTCCACCGACTCGTTCTCCCCTTGCCTCTTGGTACTCCCCTTGCCGGCTTTCTGGGGAGTACCAGTGGCCCTGCCTCGCAGGAAGCGCCCACTTGGGTAGTGTGTTTCTAAGGACCCATGGACTCCTTCCTGTCAGTGCTGCTTCTTGCTGTGTCTCCTCCCTGTTGCTACCTGGACCCGGTCGCCTTTTCTGCTGTATCTCCCAGTGTTTTGATTTCCTGCCTCTTGTCCTCCTGCCAACGTTAATGTTTTCCTGGCCCGTGGAATAGGAGATGCTCTGACTTCAGCTGGAAACCTTCATCATCTCTTGGCACTTTTCTCCTCCCCACGGTAGACCAGATGGGAGCTGCATCACTGTCCCCCCCCAGCCACGGCCACACTGTTCTTTCCACCACCAGATTCTATCTGCTTTCCCCAAACAGAAGATTAAAAAATAATAATAATAATAACATAAAGAGGTTGTGAATATTTTTACATCTTAATTTTTGGACCTTGTTTTCCATTTCTGCCTTCCCAGAGGACCGCTGTTCCCTTTTGATTCTGGAGGGCAGAGCACACGGACCCTCACGCTCTCCTTGGGCGCTCAGCCTGCCTGGGTCGTGTGGGACTGTTGCATTGCTCACAGCTCCATGCAGCTGCGAACGCAGTGATTGTGGAATAATTGGCTCAAAACTGGTGTTCACGCAAGTGTCCAGTAATGGCTGGCTAATTTATATCAGGGGACCTCTAGATCATGTGATTCGTGTCACATTGGAGCCTCTTCCTCTTAAGGGATGTTCTCTAAAGGCATTTATTTCTTCACAACCTTTCTGCCATAGTGGCTTTTTGGCAAATGTTACCGGATAAAATATTTTTATTACATTACTATGTATATTAATACATGATACATATACTTCTTATTTTCTTTTTTACATAACTAACATACAGTCTTTCACTTTGTATAAGTTAATAAGCAAATAGAATAAGAAAGTCACTCATAAAAGTATCAACCATGGTTACCAGTAGCATCCTGGTACATACCTGTGGGTACATATTAAAGATATACAATATGTACAGCATCACACTATGCTTATTGTATTATAATTTTTTAAACTTTCATTCACTTCATTCATTTGTTCACATCATTAATTAATATAATTAATTCTATAAGTACTTATTGAGTGGCTACTGTGAGATAGGCAGTAACTTCAGGAAAACAATATTGAACAAAATATACATGAGTGAGCCCTGCACTCCGGAACTTACTGGCCAGTGAGTGAATTTAAAATGCCCATTTATTCTAGATGAACTTTGTTGAATCTGTTCCGATGGAGTATATATTTGGCTCCAATGCCTTACTGCTTTAATTATTGTACATCTTTAATACATTGTAATTGGAGAGGTTGTTTTAGAGTCGGCGTCCTTCTCAGATCTTTCACTTCATTGTGGTTCTGGGCTCTGGTCATACCTAATCAAGTGCCAGCTGTCATCACAGAGTCAAGGTATCAATGGCGCTACTGCGGGTAATTCAGTTTTATGTTCTTTAGTTGTGTCTGTTGAGTGATATCATCCCCAAAGCAGATTTTTTTCTTGACATAGTCTCACTCTGTTTTCCAGGCTAGAGTGCTGTGGCGTCAGCATAGCTCACAGCAACCTCAAACTCCTGGGCTCAAGCAATCCTCCTGCCTCAGCCTCCCAAGTAGCTGGGACTACGGGCACGCACCACCATGCCCGGCTAATTTTTTCTACATATTTTTAGTTGTCTGGCTAATTTCTTTCTATTTTTAGTAGAGACGGGGTCTCACTCTTGCTCAGGCTGGTTTGGAACTCCTGACCTGGAGCAATCTAATCTGCCCGCCTTGGCCTCCCAGAGTGCTAGGATTACAGGCGTGAGCCACCATGCCCAGCCTACCCAAAGCAGATTTTATGTTCTAAATAAACTGGCAACTTAACTCAGATACTGTACATTATCCAGTTGGCCTTTTGGTCCAATAGTTAGACAAGGAAAATGTATTTGTTCCTATTTTGACTCTGGTTAGAGTTCAAAATTCAGCAAATAATCACTGACTAGCCACTAAGTGTGGTGTGACCTGGAAACAGAGTTTTGTTCCCTCATGGAAAACTCTTGGTTTGCTGCAGACTCTCCACAGTGATGTGACAGCCCTCTTAGTGTTGTCTTAGACTCTCTGTATGTAGCTCAACTCAAGCCACTGTTTTCTAAAACTTTCTTTTATAAAAAGGGGTTTAAATAATAGCAGTATCTAATGAGTATCTTTATGTTCTCAAAATTTATTAATATTTTCTTAATTAAATAAAACTTTTCCTTCACAGCATGATGGATGTTACTATGCCTACTTGAGTTTTAAAAAGTCCAAGCCACATTCATTTATTTATTCAGAAAATATTTTTGTGTATCTACAATGTACCAGGAAATGTTCTAAGTGCTGGGTAGGTGGTCATGAACAAGACAGATGATGACTGACCTCCTCATCTTACTTCCACTTTAATTGAGGACATAGAAAATGAACAAGTAAATATACAACTTCATTAGTACTTTGAGAAAGAAGGGAACAATGTAAGGAGTTATAGAATACTGGGGGTCCAGCAGGGTATCTGTGACCATCTGATTTTAACCCAGTATCTAAATATAGAGAGTGGATCGGGCACAGTGGCTTATGCCTGTAATCCCAGCACTTTGGGAGGCTGAGATGAGTGGATTGCCTGAGGCCAAGAGTTCAAGACCAGACTGGGCAACTTCGTGAGACTCCCAAATATTAAATTAACCAGAGTTTAAGGTTACAGTGAGCTACCATTGTGCCACTGCACTCCAGCTTGGGTGATGGGTGACAGAGCAACACCGTGTCTTTAAAAAAATAAAAAATAAACAAATACAGTGAGTGTTTGAGCCATAGTGATTCAATTCCTAGGCTATCCCTAGTGAGTATGATAAAGCTCTTAAACTAGGATGATATACAGAGGTGTACGATCTTGTACTGCAAATATAAGGTTACTATCTATTTTGAAATTCACAAATAACAGGATAGACTGATTCAGTTTATAAAAAATGGTCACAAGCATTTGAACAACCCTTTGAAACACATCAACTTTCTAAACCATACGGACAGAATCACTTTCTCATTCATACTGAAAACGTGTGTCTCTGTTTAGCCATGCTACCTGCTTCATTTTGATTAATCCTCAAAGCTACTCCAGGAGAAATTTATTATTTACTACATTCTGCAAGTGTTAAAACTGACATTCAGAGAAGTTGAGAGTTTGTTCACTTAGCTAGCAGAACCTGAGTTTGAGTCTGCTTGACTTTGAAGCATTTGCTTCCCTCTAATATCTACTTATCTGAATGATCAAGTAAGTATGCATGTGTGTAGGTATAATATGTGTAAACGTGTGTGTGAAATATATATGTATATTTGTATATTATATACATTTAAAATTGCATAATTATAACATTAAATTTGCATGACCATTTATATTTATTTTAGTCACTGTCACAGTAACTATATTAAATATTTTCTATTTTACTTTTAGATTTGAAGTCATGGAAACAAATACTTTTTTCTGTGATATTCTTTCTATTCTATCAGTTCCCTACCCAAGCCCCACCATGGAGGATAAAATTTACTCATGTAACTCCATGTGTTTTTTAAACCTTTAATTTTTTAAAATCTCTTTTAAATACCACCAAACAGTTTCTGCTTAACTCCACCAAAATTGTTTACTTTCTTTCTACTTTTGCATATATTTTATCATCTTAATTTACAGTGCTGATATTCATCTTATATTCCATGCATTTCTAGCTTCCTCAGTAATGACCTGCTCGTATGGAAATGCATCGTCAGAAATTACTCCACTTTCTAAACTTTGAAGATTATCCTACTTTATGTAATCAACATCATCCTTAAAGTCTAATTCTTAGAGTGTGTTGCTCAAAGATTAAGTATGTAAAAAATTATGTATTGGGAAAACTGTGTCAATAAACTGTCCTCTGACAGAGAGTCAGAATAATGGCAGATCTATTCTGGCCAGTGATTTGTAGTTTCGTAGACTAATGATGTAATGAAACTCATGCATACGCTGTCCTAGTTAAAGGAAAAACCAGAAAAGCCTATGAATCGATAATAAATGCCTAAATCTGGTAGATGGAACAAATCAGCATGGAAGTTCAAATAAAAATAGTCTGACCTAATAACTCTTGTGCTTTTGTATTGTTTGGTACTCAACAACTTGAGAAACTAGGAGTTTATTCTGGAAAAAAATCCAAATAGCTTCTATGTATTTGTCCAATTACAGAATATTTTTATTCCAGTGGTGGTTGTCACCAAGAGCGTGTGTTTCAAATTGCTTCATAACTTGTAAAGTACTGTCTGGAGGGGACTTTTTCTTGACCACATACTTGGCCTATGATATGTGCCTGCACGTGTTTGGAGATTTATCTTCATTATATGAGCAAATCTTTATCATCAATTTATCACTTCTGAAGCACATTTCCTGCGTGAAACTGAAGTGCTTAACTCTTGATATATTACAGCAAAATGATTAATGTGCCTGATGGTGCTGGCTTCATCCTTTAGTTATTATTCAGTGTAAACGCTGGGAGCTACGAAAGGGGTGTAGAATCAGTGGCTGACTCCACACCACAGGTGGAATCTTAGAAAAATACCTTTTAAACTTTAATTACATGACACTCTAAGTCCTTAGTGTCCTGAAGGGAATGGAGCTGGAGTGTTGCTGTTTGTCGCCTGTCATTGTTCCACATAGCTTTCTTTTGGACCCAGACTCTTTTATCTGGGCATATCCTGTGTAGACCCTCTGGCCTGGGCTTAAAGACCTCTGGCCTCTTAGTGCAGCCGACTGGCAACTCGGCCTTGGCCATGATCTTTTCGTGTATTACAACTCACTTTCCAGACCTGGGAAGTGCAATTACTTGCTTGGCTGTGCTGGAGAGAAAGCACCGAGCTCTGCTGTGGATAGGATGGTGGGCAGTTGAAATCTTTGGACATTAATTTTTACATATAAAAATGGAACTTGGACTAGAAAATCATAACCAACTGCCTTTAAGTCTTAAACTGTATACCAGGCACTGAGCTGAGCACTTTACATATTTTTATCTCATTTCAAAGCTGTGAAGAGGGGACCATTAGTGTACCTATCATACAAATGAGGAAATTAGGCACAGAGAGGTTAAGTAACCTAAATGAGGTCACATGGCTAGTAAAGGGCTGTGCTAGAATTTGTACCTGAGAGCTGATACTCTAACCGTTTTCTTAACTGTTATATTATCTCCGAGAATTAGGAGAGTGCTCCCAGATTTAAAATAGTATGATCATATGGTATTTGGTTCTTCCAACAATATAGACAAGATAGGCAGGACATGTATCATTTACCACTAGTATAGAGATAAAGAAACAAAGCTTCAATGAGAAAATTGAGGCTAAAGAGGCCATGAACTGTATATTAAGGAATGGGGGGGGGCTGTTTTTATGGGGTTTATAATCAAGAGAATGCAAAAGAAAGACAAACGTGTGATCAATATTGTGGGAATCTTTAACAAGGTTCTTTAATAAAGTTTTTTTTCATAAAGTTCTTTTCATCTGTCTATATTTAAAAAACTGTAAAATCACACACAGACACTTCAGCTGTTGAATTTCAGATGCTAAATCTGAATCCTGTATTTTAATCCCTTGATAAATTATGCATTTTTCAGGGTGTATTTGTATCTTCAAAGATAATATCTGGTGACTTTCAACTGGCTATTTTCTGTGTTCTAACAGAATAACCACGACAACAAACTTCCTGCCAAGGAGTGAGGCAGGTGGTGGGTTGAACAGAAGAATCGAAGATGTGACTAATAGAGGTGCTGTCTATCTGATCTCTGCACTTTTTCTTTTTTTCAATTTTAGAATAAAGAACTAAAAACCAAGGTGGCACTTTGTTCTGAAACTCCTAGGACAAAAGTATCTAAGGCTGTCTCTACAAGGTAAAGTCTTTCTCTTCCCCCACCCCATCTTCACAACCTCTGTGGAACATGTTTCACATTCAACCCACTTGAGAAAGTTTCCAATCTGTTAGTACTTATGTAATCACTTGTTTACTGTCTGTCTCCCTGTTCCTGTTCAGGACTGTATTAATCTTGTTCATCATTGAATCCTCAAAGACTAGCATATTATTACTAAATAAATGAACAGACAGATCTAGAATCTTTTCCTCTTCTTTGTTCTGAAACAAGCCTTATCTCAACTTAAACACTTTCTCCAGACATTATAGATCATCTCCCCTATTATTCTTCTTCCTCTGTTGTTTGTATTTTTTATGCCACTGATGGACATTTTAATCCCAAATTGTTGGTATTTATTGTGATTGCCATGTCTTTATCTCTCAAACTTAATACATTATAAATATCACCAGGGAAAGAATAGTTCTTTGTATTTCTTTTTATTTCTTGCATTGCTAAGGACAAGAATCTTGAACAACTACCTAATAATGAATGATTTCAAGCCATGATAATGACCCACTAAAGCAATCAAAATGATGGTTGACACTAAGTCATTTTTTTTAAATGCTTAATTTTTTTTTATTGTTGACAGAATCTGAATCTCAATCTAGGCTCAAATCTCATTTCCATTAGCTCTATGAAATTATCACCTAAAAGAAAACATAGTCTGTAATTACATGTATCATTTAAAAAGTGATTTGAAACTTCCTGTTCTGGCAGCTTTTGAATTTCCAGTCTCTCCCTCTAGAGAGAATACCACTTTCTGAGACTCTGCCACAGTGCCTGGGGTGGAAAATCAGACCCACTACGATTAGCATCAGTCTAGGAATTCAGGCAGATTCATCTCTTTCTTTAAAACTCCCTGAAACAGAGTTTCACTTTGCTAATGATGTATGTAATTAGAGACTAGAGATGAAACCATTACAAATCAAGTCCCCTAAAATCTTTGGGCCTCCAGATGCTAAGTTACCAACTTTTTGGCCACTAGCCCTGCAACTTTAACAAAAAAAGAAATGAAGTCTCAGAGGTATTTAAGGAATTGAAATGCCCACATTTCAGAAACAGGGAGAGAAGTAGACTCACTTCAGTGGGGGAAGAGGTGAAGGGTTTGGAATAAGAGGGCAAGCGTGAGTTTCCAAGGCAAGGAAGGATGGGCATTTTTTACTCCCTTTCATCTATTCATAGATATTGTTCCCTTTGGGGTGGAAAGCATCCTGGCCAGCCAGCTGCTTTGACTATGGCCCCATTTCCTCCATATACACACACATATATTTACACATATGCACGCACACATGTGTGTAGTTTTAAATACTAGAATCACACAGTGAGAAAAGTTTAGGCTACAAGAAAAACAGAGAACCAAAACAGCTGGATGCAAAGTCGATCTGTGTTTTCTCATCTTCACCTGACTCTGGTGCATGTCTTCGCCTAGTGGAATGGCAGACCCAGGCTCTGCCTCTCTGTGACCTCCTTCACTCTTTCTCACTCTTGTTCTATTAGATCTAGCTGAATTTGCCTATGTCAATGCTTTTGCAATGTGATTCTGCTTTATCTCATGGGGAGCTGGTCAGAATAGATCAATTAACAGCCATCCTTTAGAACAAAGCAGTTAGTTCAGATGTGGTAGTATTGTGGTGGTAGAATATGGTGGTCCAGCCATGATCACTGGAGTTTAACATGCTCCTTTCTGATTATTGTGTTGTCTTTTCTACAGTGAATTGAAGACTGAAGACATCTCTCCATATTTGATGTTGATTAGGCTACGGAAATGAACTGGCTTGCTGAAGATCAGATTGATATAGACTATGTGGGTCATATTTATTCCTTGAAGCACAACCCAGACTTCCTTGTTGAAATAGAACCATGCTGGTAATGGAATAGAATTTATTATATATGAGTAGTTTTGCAAGAAGATGACATTCCAAAAAAACCAAAACAAATATATATTTAAGGGAAGGGCTCTCTCTTCGAAACTTATCAAATAGGTGAAGAAAGCGGGTGCTTTTGAATGATGGAAGATGTATTCTGATATATATATATAATTTTAGAATATTATGGGGGTACAAGTGTTAAGGTTACTTATATTGCCCATGCCCCCCTCACCCCTCGAGAATCTGAGTTTTGCTTTCAGATTTTTGCTAAAGGGACTGTTTTAAGATGGTCGACTCTGACCTTTTGATAATAGTTTTTAAGTGTACAAATGGAAGAGTAGAGTATATTATATGTATGAACAAGCAATATATTTTAAAATTGACCTTTGGATAATAAGAAAGATCTTACAACATAAATTCATCTCCTGATCCATTATTAGTGGGAGGGTTATTCCCTACTGAATTATAGGCACAATGAGGAATGGATTCCTTTTAGTTAATTCCTCTACCCACATTATTCTCCAGTTGAGAACTGTGGTGCCTGCCTGACCTTAGAAAGTTACTGTTTTTCAATTGCTCTGGGATTAAAAATTGGTTGCTCAACGTAACCCAGACACAGAAACATCCAGGCATGCACATGGTACACTCTGCCTTTGTGACTAATTTTCTTTTTGATATGTATTAATATTACTTAATTAAAATATTTGGGGGAAGAATAAAACATGCTGTTAGCCCATACTTCTATAAAAATCTATATATTACAGGCTAAAAAAAATGGCTGCTGTCTTCAGCCAGGAAGAATTTGAATTCATGAACTGGAATGATATGTCTAGTGTTCTTGTGAAAGTGTACTTAAATTTTAAGACACGCCATCATTACAGGTGGAGTTTGTGATTGCTATGAGTAAAACCAAACTCTGACTTGCAGAAATACAAACATACTGATAATCAGGAAAGCAGAACACAATTAAATGAATAATGAGAGACCTTAGTCACCCTAAAGAGGGAATTCCCGTTAGACCTTTGTTCTTCCTCTATGGTGTACAACTTTAAACACTTTCTCAGGAAAGGTGCTTCAAGCCTTTCAATGTAGAATGTGGAAATATCAGTGTTTTCTATAAAATGTTTGAAGGTATGTAAACATGGAATGAAGTAATGTATTTATATAATAATTGCATCCAAGTACTGTAATCCTTGAAATGTGTAACCATATGTGAGTGTTATCGTTCATGGTGTCTTTGGAAACATTTTTATTACTTGCTAAGTTTGAAGGCATAGTTTATTAATATTTGTTAATTATTTATTAACAAATTACTTCATATTTCTTCATTTTGAAAATTTCTACCTCTCTTCTGACCTGTAAATAAATACAGAATTCTTATTATATCCAAGTAGTTACCCTATCCAGGCAGAACTGAAAAGTCCTCCAATTAATATTATAACCATTATAATTCCTTCCCTCTTTCGCTCCCTCCCTACTTCTCTTCCTTTTTTCCTTCCCTTCTTTCTCTTATTTTTTGGTGGAAAATATTAAGGATACAATAAAGATTTAAATAATCACATTTAATTGATTTGTTATTAAAGTATATACTTACAATGGGGTTCACAGCATGCTACTCCAAAATATGGCACCTTGGCATTTGAGAAAACAGCAGAAGCAGGAAGGTCACTCTTACCTTCCCCTCCTGTCCCCTGAGCAGGTCTTCAAACCTAGCAAGGATTTTTTTGACATTTCCCTGTAAGATCCTTATTTGAGATGGGCCCTCCTGATACCCAAAGGAGAGGAATATCCTTATCTCTAGAGACACAGAGAAGAATCTGAACAAACATACCTTGCTAATTTCCTCCCAGTTCATTATTAGATCGTATTCACTTTGTTAAATCACACTTCTTCACAATTGTCCCTATCTTCATCAAATCTAGCATAAAACATGCACAGCTTTATCCATTTCTTCAGGTCTTCATTTCCTTATGAAGTCTCCTCGGTTATATAAAACTTATATTAAATAAATTTGTATGCATTTCTCTTGTTGATCTGTCTTTTGTTATAGAGGTCTCAGCCATGAATCCCTAAGATGGGAAGGGAAGATATTTCTAAGATATGCCTAGAAGAAGAAAAGTCATTTCTTTTCCTTTACACTTAGAAGGGTTTCAAGTTGTGGCAGAATTATGAAAAATTTGGATTCATCCTAGATGTGTAAGGTTGGTTTATCATTAGAAAATCAGTGTAATTCACCATAATAAAGGAGAAGAATTATATGATCATTTTAATAAATGAAGAAAAGTGTTTGACAAAATTCAGCAACTATTCATAATAAAAACTCTAAGCAAACTGGGAATCATGGGAAACTTCATCATTCTGACAAACAGCATTTATGAAAAGCCTTCAGTTAATATAATTAATGGTGAAAGTCTAATACTTTCCCCACTAATATTGGTAAAAAGCAAAGATGCCTCTTTTCCCCATTTGTCTTAAACATTGTACTGCAGGTACTACCATTGGACTATGGCAAGAAAAAGAAATGAAAGAAAGCAAGCAAGAAAGAGAGAGAGAAAGAAAGAACAAGAAAGAAAGAGAAAGAAAGAAAGAAAGAAAGAAAGAAAGAAAGAAAGAGAAAGAAAGAAAGAAAGAAAGAAAGAGAAGGAGAGATGGAGGGAAAAAGAAAGGAAGAAAGAGAGGAAGAGAGAGAGAAAGAAAGAAAGAGAGAGAGAGAGAGAAAGAAAGAAAGAAAGAAAGAAAGAAAGAAAGAAAGAAAGAAAGAAAGAAAAGAAAGAAAGAAAGAAAGAGGGAGGTAGGGAGGGAAAAAGAAAGGGAGAAAGGAAGAAAGGAAGAGAGAGAAAGAAAGAAAGAAAGAAAGACATATAAATTGAAAAAGTAAAACTGTCACTTCCATTGGAATATAACTCAACAATAAAAGGGACCAAACCACAAACAAATAAATATATACAACAAAGGACAAATCCCAAATCATGTTAAGTGAAAGAAGCCAGAAGAAAAAAGAAGACACAGTATATAATCAGTTTTTCTGGTAAGATTCATTCATTTCTTCTCTCAACAAATACGCACTGAGTGCCCGCTATTTGCCATTCTAGAAGCCAGTGCTACAGCAGTGGGCAGTGGGGTTACGGTGGAGGGTGGGCAATGAAGAAAAAGAAGGATCTTTATCTTCATGGAAACGCATTCTAGTGACCAGAAACAGATAATAAAGTTGGAGATGTCCGCTGGACTGTGAAGAAACCTAAAGCACAACATTGGGATGGGGGGTTTCTAGGGATGACAAGGTGTGGTTGCAATTTCAAACGGGGTGACAGTTTAAGAAATGTTAACTAATAGACTGATAATTTAAACGAGACCTCTCTCTGAAGGTAACAACCGAGCAAAGACAGGAAGAGGGCGAGGGAAATGACGCAGGACGGCTGTCAGGTGATGGAAGGGCGGGCCAGGCAGAGGCTGCGCAGGCGCAGAAGGCCTGAAGGCAGGACGGGTGGGTGTGTCCCTGTCAGTGCAGCGGGCCTGGAGAATGCCGAGGAAGTCTCTACATAATGTAAATGCTTTTCCATGCAGTGTATTCTTTCATATTTCCTTTGTATAAATCATTCCTTTGATTTGATTAGTAAGTTACCTTTCCAGTTCTTCTTTGAATTCTGAGCAGTGGTTAGCTAACCATTTTTGGGAACTGTATCTCAGTCCCCCGTTGGTCTGATTTCCTTGTTATATGGAGAAAGCCCATTATTCTCTGGAAGGGGCGGAGAAAGGAAAACTGCTCTTAGGTGTTTCAATTAAGTGGTCTTGTTTTGACCTCTTGGCCTAGTGGCCTCATAAGGAACTGCTCTTGGACGTCAGGGGAGGAGAAAGGGACAGAGGTTGCTCAGGGCGGGAGCAGAGCCACCTGTACTCGTAATGCAATGTGTTACATTACCTAGCACGACTCCAAATCGCTCGTTTGGTTCACTTTCTCGAGAGTGAATGAGTTTATAATGTAAATTTCTCCGGGGAATCAAACAGATTGAAGTCTTCTGCTGTAAGCTCGCTGCTGCTTTTTGTCTTTCTTTTTAACCATTTGGTAAAGAAGAGTCTTTTGTCGTGCTCTCTCAGAGACCTACGAAAATGGTCCAAAGTTATAATAATTGCAAAAATCTGATTACTATCACAAATTGTTTCTAGTACCTATAATATAGCGTTAGTCAAGTCTAAATTAGTGGGTTGGCTTGCTAAACCACAATGCAAGTCACCTAAATGAGTTTCTAACAGAGCAACAGTGCCCACACTCTTATTATAGCTATTCTTTGTCCACAAGTAGCAATTCATATTAGAAATTAAGTTCTCCTTGGTATAGAGAACTGTGAATACCTTACATATAGTTTTAAAAAACAGAAACTGTGTCATTACAAACAGTGAATGTCAGGATGCTTTATTTATTTATTTATTTTTACCTCAATATAGGGCATGCTATGACTTTTTTAAAATCCTATAAAACCATTAAGGAAAAACAAGTCCCTAATCTTGAATTATTTAACACGAACCTAGTGGGTAAAAGATTCTGCCGGTGTGAAACAGTGTTACTATTACTGGGGAATAAAGTGGAGAGAATGGTGCCAAGGATTTATTTGCTTGCAGTGGGAGAGTTGTTTATCTTTAAATTAAAAACTCATCATTATCTTGGCAAAGTCTATCTAAGTAACATATGGAGGGACATCCACTCTGGGAACAAGTCAGCCTTTGCAAATGAACATTTTAAAGGAAGCTGTATGGTTGTGGTCTTGAATTGGCCTTGAACATCAGTCCTTCACCAGCCTGTAAGGAAGGGAGATAGCACCACCTGCTCAGCATTTGATTACAGAGAAGAAATAGGTTATAATATGAGGAAGGGCTTACATACCACAGATTACTTTAACATGGTAACTGCTAATTTTAATAAATATATTATTCAAATTTATTGGCAAATTTTACTTGCAAAGCCCAGTCTTTAAGTAATTAATGAAAAGTTTAGAGAGATAAATAAAAATCACGTGGCTCAGTCCAGATCACTTATTTCCTAGTTGTGAATGGATTCCATTTCTAATGTGATAGGAGTTCAATGTTGTTACTGGTTCCCCACCCACCATTCATCCAACCAATTTCAGCACAGAAATAAAGTTGCTTTGAGTACACAAAATAATTGATAAAAATGCATTTATTTGAAAAGTGTGCAGAAACAATCACTGAATACAATTCTCAACCATAGTATTCAAACCCAGGCACCACAAAATCATTGGATGCTATGATTTCTGAAGCCACTAGAACTTTGGTACAATGAAAGAATGACCTAACAGTGTTTTTTAGGAACCACAGTCTATTTAGGGGCATATAGAATAAAAACTCCATGTTTAAAGTTTTAAGTTACATTCATAGCACTAGACAAAACAGAGATCTGTATAGGAGACAGCTTAAAAATGAGAATAATGTTACTTAAAGGTAAACTGTTGGGATACAGTGAAGCACTTCAGTTTTATGTGAGAACACTGTCTACTTTTAACACATTAAAGAAAGCAGGATAATTTATTTTTCTTAAATAATTTCAGATACACTCAGTATCATTTACAAGACTATGGGCACAAAAGCCTTATTTGTACATGGAAGATTTTGATCAAGTTGTAATATACTATCTAGAGTATAATTCATTTCCTTGAAAGAAATACAAGATGACATACAGATTAAAATAGAACTCATTTTTTTAAAAATAATGAGATATATAAAACATTTTCAATCAAATACAATGGCCTTCCCATTTGTAGTCTCTAATACTTCTACTAAAATTAGTGTGTTTTCCCTGCTACGATACTTCTTTGCACAACAAACAAGTGGTTTAAATTATGACTATTTTTATTAGTTTTTAGCTTGTGATAATAGTGTCTGTTTATGAAACAGAATATAATTTGCAAACCACTTTCTTATATATTTCTATTTCTTCCTCGAGCCTGACATGAACCCTATGAGAAACACAAGGGTTATGAAATTTAAATCACTCAATCCAAAGATGATTTCTTTGTATATTTTTCCCAAAAGATGGCACACTTTTAAATAGTCCCCCTATTCTGGTACTAGTGTTTTTGTTGTTTTTTAATGATATTCTCTCCATATAAGAAGTGAGAAAACACCTCAATCATAGACTATTGGTATAAAGAACTCTGAAGAAAAGTATCTTTGTGATGCTGCTCCTTGAAAAATTATTTGAAGTTAAACTGATGAAAAAATTAAAGTCATATGCAGTAAAGAAAATGTTTCCAAGTTTCCAAAATTTTAATGCCAATAATGTTTTTTTTTTATTTAAGTCTTCTATTAGTTCTAAGGGCATAAACCTCTACTTGGTAGATGAAAATGATGAATAAATATTTGCCATGAATTTGGTTACAAAAAACTTTGTTATTAAATGCTGTTTTATACTTCAAAATTATCCTTTTAAGTATGGCCTTCTCTAAGTTCTACTGTATTTAAGGGCACAGTTTAAAAAACTTTTAACTCCTATTTCTCTTTATAATTCTTGCTCAGCAAGGTCATTGTGGATTGGTCTTCAGCCAAGAATTCTAAGGCAGTAAGTTTGTAAAATTCTCTATATATCCAATAACAATTTTTATCAGGTCTACTTTATGTGAAAATAGCTTCGTGTATTTATAGAACATTGAGACAATACTCTTCTCAGATAGTAATCTATATCCATTTTCATGTTTAAGAGCTTAGCACTCTTCCCAGAAATAAGTTGATAACACCTTGGTCAAAGATCAAGAAGAAAATATAGCTTATGGTGAATTCTTAGACAACCTTTTCAAATACATTAATAGATGGTATCTTAGCATCTTTAAAAATGATAAAGCTTTTTCTAAAATACTCAAATACACTGTAATTCTTTAAGTGTTTTAAAGCTTTGTAGTGGAGGGTAAAAGACAATTCTATCACTTTGGCTAATATCAGTTTTCAGATCTTCCTTTTAAAGAGTTATTATATATCTTAGGAAAACACAGACTTGGAATATTATTTCTTTACAGTTTGAGTTTTAGATTGTAATTCCAAAATCCTTTATGGATGAGGATTTTCTTTCAAATTTTTGGTGTGATACACACTCAGGAACACATATTTGCCCTTTTTAAGTGAACAGAGAGAGAACAGCGAATGACCTTGTTCCATGGACACAAGATTCCAGGTCATATACTGTGCCTAGCTGTACTCTGCATCTATTGCACAATATTGCTTCTCTTGCTAACTGCTGTCCCCATTCCACTGGTGAGAAGATATATGGGCTTCATCAAATCTGTTGATTTCCAATGGACTCGATTTACAGCTTAAAGAACATCATAGGGTGCTGTTACTAAATTATTTTTAATGTAGTAATGTCCTTGTCTATGCTCAAGCTTCCCTTTCTTATAAAAGGGACAAGAAAGGGCTTGCCCAGTTGATCCAACCTTAACAGGTTGGCAAAGAACAATTTATAGTAGAAGCATGACAAAGACACCCACCAATAGGTAAAATGGCCCATCTGGTTAAAAGTAACAGAAAAAAATATTTACTTTAGAAAACGCTGGTTTTGAATTGTGATAGCTGATAATATGGACACAATAGCAAATTGGCTAGAGTAGTAACTTGCAAGAGTATTAAACTCTCAAGGAGACAACCATAAGCTCAAATCCCAGCATTTAGTATTTTTTTCTGCCAATTCATGACTTGTTACCATCATCATACCAAGACAAACGTTATGTTCTCTCCCTATTTTTGATGTATTTTTTAGAAGACATTTCTTTTTACATTGGAAGATAACCTTGTTACCTAATCACAGGTAAGAGTCTCAAGTAGTGCCCACTCCATGGGAAGTAAGCTAGGAGACCAGGAGAAGATCATAATCTCTAGATTCCGATAAAGTCCTTGCATCCTTTTCTGATGATATTAGAAGACCTTGAGCTGTGCTAGTGTCTCTGTGAGGGTTTCCTATGATATAACATTATAGAAAATGAACTCTGCGGTTGGAGACAAATTTGGTCACAGGGGTATCTGAGGCACTGAGTTAGAACAATGTAAACATCAAGCCAGCGTAAACGCTCCAGAAATAGTTTCCATATCAGAAAGGAGTTTCCTATACATTTTAAATATTTCTCCAAAATACAATGTGGTTTATTAATACAATGGTAGGTAATTAGTAACAGAACATATCTTGCCTAAAAATACATGCTCTTGTGGGGTAAAGAGGATATGGACTTGTTTAAAGCAGTAACATATACACTGCATGGCACCAGATTGATTTATATAGAACTATCAATTCTGAAATAATAATGGTTGCACAAAATTTGGTGTCAGTGGTCCAACTTTACAGAAAAAATAATTTTAGATCCAGTATTTATAAATGGATTGCCATTTAAAATTAATTTTCTTGTCAATTTTAAATTTCATTGCTCTTGAGATTATTATCCAATAATTATTATTTTTACAGGCATAGTTCTATAATTATGGGCATCATCACTCTCTGCTTCATGCTACAGCTATCAAATAATGATCTTAAAATAGAGCTTGAAAAAAATACTGGTTAAATAACTGACAATGACAGAAACTTGGCATAAGTAAATCAATCATATAACTGGAAAATGAATAGAAACAAAAAGGCACGTCAAAATAGAAAACTTGTAGGGTTTTATAAAGGCTAAACATTCCCTATTAGGTAAATGCAGGGAATATCACAATTTGAATACAAAGAAGAAGTTGATATAATGATCACAAAAGTTCACCAGATTTTGCCACAGCAATGGTTATATTGTTTCTGCTCCCTTTCCTCTGAGAAGAAACATTTTAGATGATAGCTAATAGATTTATATATTCATGTCACAGGCGTTGAGATCATGAAGAGCATCCCAGAGAAAACACCATGGTGGGAATACCCAACCATGATACTGTCATGGCACTGCAGGAATCAAAGGAGCTGGGCAGTCAACACTGAGAATTTCACTGGGGGCTCATCCCCAAACAAGCTTCCAAGTTGTTTTGATTCATAGCACACTTCTGGGTCTAGTCCATCCCAAGGACATTATAAATAGACATTTCTTTGGATCTGTCTGTGTTTCCGAAACTGATTCAATACAAGAGGGAGGTTGAATGGGGGACTGGGATTTTAGGGTCTCCAATGTTTGTAACGTCACAAAAACAATATGCACAGAGTGTGAAAAAATTAGGTCTGATTAGAAATTCTTTTTTTGGGAGACAACGTTTCACTCTGCCACCCGAGTTCAAGTACAGTGGTGTGATCATAGTTCACTGCAACCTCCAACTCCTGGGCTCAAGTGATCTTCCCATCTCAGCTTACTATGTGGCTGGGACTACAGGTGTGCACTTCTACACCTGGCTAATTTTTTAATTTTTTTTTAGAGATGGAGTCTTGCTATGGTGCACAGGCTGGGCTCAAACTCCTGTGTTCAAACAATCCTCCTGCCTTGGCCTTCCAAAATGCTGGGATTACAGGTGTGAACCACTTTACTTTGCCACTGATTGGAAAAATTTTGTAGGAAGAGGAACCATCCTGTCAAAAAACCATGTACTCATAATAAAAAGAGAAAACTTGAAGTACATTGCCTTTGTTTTTGATAAAATCGACTGGAATAAATAATAGTTTGATAGGAATGGCTTGTTTCAGAAACTAAGATCAAAAACTAATATAAGGCCAGGGTGGTGGCTCACGCCTGTAATCCTAGCACTCTGGGAGGCCAAGCTGGGAGGATCACTCAAGGTCAGGAGTTCAAAAACAGCCTGAGCAAGATCAAGACCCTGTCTCTACTAAAAACAGAAAGAAATTAATTGGCCAACTAAAAATATATAGAAAAAATTAGGCAGGCATGGTGGCGCATGCCTGTAGTCCCGGCTACTCGGGAGGCTGAGGCCGGAGGATGGCTTGAGCCCAGGAGTTGGAGGTTGCTGTGAGCTAGGCTGATGCCATGGCACTCTAGCCTAGGCAACAGAGCGAGACTCTGTCTCAAAAAAATATATGTATAATGTTACTTTGCCATAAGGACAAGAACAGGCAGGTGGAAAATACTTTCATGATCATTTTTAGAAAGAAAGGCATCTTTATGTGAAAAAATAAAAGAACTGACCAAATTTTTGGTGAGATAAAATACAGGTCCATCCCTCCCCAGCTCCCAAATATAGCTCAACTATAGGTGCTTTGGCCTTAGGCAAAATAAAAACATACCATACTATACAATGAGGTATCATCAATTTTTATGTGATTAATGACATGAACATTCAGAGTGACCATATAATTGATCCATCTTATTCTGAAGTTCTTCATCTATGTAGTGATACATCTGCATGTCTACAATTGATTTAAAGCCAGGGGTGGGTGAGGTTTGGAGGGAAGGCGTGTGATTTGGGTTTCCAGTGCTTTTGTGAACTAAAAGGAAACCCACAATTAATAGTCACTCTTTGTTTCATATCACCAGCATACTTTATCTTAAAAATTTTTAAGGCTAGTTTCCTTGACTGAATTTCTTAAAGAGATATTTAAATAGCAACTGTTAATTTTTCATTGTGATTATTTTATCATTTTCTAAGAAAAATGAAACATGAAGTTGAACACCAAACGAATTTCTAAACTTTTGTTTGAAATGAAAACCTCTGGAGATTTTCTTAATTCCAACTGATAATGTCAACTTCTAATTGGCTTGAGTAAAATTTGGCTAAGTAAGTCTTCCAGACATCTGTAACAGATATATTTAATTTCAGCTTTCCAAATGCCATGTTCCCATACTTTCATTTTTTTCTCTAGGGCATTTCTCTTGTACTTTGTCATTCACAGTCCTGTTCTTGTCTCTGTGCTCTTTCTTAAGAATATCAAAATGGCATTATGGCATAATTGGCTACTTTTTAGCAGAGGTTTGACCTTCATCCAATCATAACCTTATCATTAATTTAGTCATTTCAGTAAAACTTATTGGGTGTACATAGTAATGTCATATTAATGAACCACAGAGAACTTTTTACCATATATCCATTTTTAGATAATATGTTTTCACCAATGCAAATATAAATGTATGAACCAGATTCTGCATAAGGACTCAGATCTTTCAAAAAAATCATCTTTCTGTGTTTTCCCTTTAGTAACCTATCCCTTTCTCCAATGTAACAAGGTAATTTATGTTCTGATTTAAAACTCACTGATATTTCTTCTTGTGTACTGTCTTAGAGACTCATCTTCTTTATAAGAAAAACAAATCAAGCATCCGTGATCTTAATGATGAAATCACATTAAGAAATCTTTGATTTTGTTTGGAAGGGTCTCAGAGATAACTGGTCAATTCTTTGAACTCTGTTGACTATTCTGGTTTCTTAAAATAGATTTTCTGCCAGAAAAAGAAGGACATGCCATTGCACATGGTCTACTCAACAACAATCTTGTGGTTTGCCATTGTTTTTGAAAGCAATATGGGTGGGTGGTTGATGATCAGTTCCTATGGAGAGTCTAGCAGGCACATTTCTTCTCTGCTGGCTTCTCCCCATCCAGCTTTCCAGAGCTTCCACCATTGACAGTGTCGGGGACTTGCGTCTTCTCCACACACTGTTCCATTCGCTTCATGATTAAGTCTAGAAGGGTCTCTACAGCTTTCTCCACATTCTGTCCAGTTGCTGCACTTGTTTCAAAATATGGTATGCTAGCATGGAAGAGATGACAGATATTTTTGAGAGGAAGAGATGAGAACAGATACTACAAGATGTACACATGAATCATACATGCAAAAACACTGCTGGCTGAGAGATTGTGAAATAATCATGTTTTTACTGGCATCCTTGTTTATTCTCAGTCAGGAAAAATTGGTGAAGTGCTCTCTACTATGGCTATAACCAGCTTTATGGGCAAAGACACTGATATTGGATATGGTCAGGAAGTTGAAGTCAATGCATTATTACTGTTTAAGAAAAATAGGAGGGGCCGGGCGCGGTGGCTCACGCCTGTAATCCTAGCACTCTGGGAGGCCGAGGTGGGAGGATTGCTCCAGGTCAGGAGTCGAAACCAGCAGCCTGAGCAAGAGCGAGACCCTGTCTCTACTATAAATAGAAAGAAATTAATTTGCCAACTAATACATATAGAAAAAATTAGCCGGGCATGGTGGCGCATGCCTGTAGTCCCAGCTACTTGGCAGGCTGAGGCAGGAGGATTGCTTGAGCCCAGGGGATTGAGGTTGCTGTGAGCTAGGCTGACGCCGCGGCACTCACTCTAGCCTGGGCAAAAAAGTGAGACTCTATCTCAAAAAAAAAAAAAAGAAAAATAAGAGGGGAAAAATGCCTAAACTAGTGATCAATATTATCATTAAAATATTGCTTCCCTTCCAATAATTACCTGGAAATTTAATTCAGAAATTAGGCATGTATTGAATAGGATATTCATGTGAATACAGTCTATATTTATCTGGAATTTAAAATTCAAGAGTCATACATTTTAAAGCTCTCAGGGAGAATCCTTCAGTAAAAAATGGGCAAATATGGTAAAACTACTTCAAATTTAAAAAATAATAACAGATTCTGCCATGGAAATCAATGACATGGGGCTTTTTTGTTTTTGTTTTTCTTTAGTTGCCATTCCAGCTCAGCTAGGATAAGGATTGCATTGTCATGTCCGTGTAGGTATTATCCCTTAGGGTTTTGCAGCTATTGATTGAGAGGCAGTAGGGTACCGTGTTTTAGAGCATGAGCTCTGATCTCAGACAACCTGTACTGAATTTAAGTTCTGCTACTTACTAGCTATAAATATATGGCCTTCCATAAGTTATTTAATCTCTCTGCAACTCCATTCTTCACATATGAAATGGGATAGCTCTAGTATCTCCTATGTATGGTTATGAGAGATTAAATGACTTAAAGTCTAGAAACAGTTGCTAGCACATAAGTATTCAAGAAATGTAAGGTGCTATTATTATTAAGTAATTTATTAAAACATCACATATATCCCTGTGGAAGATGTTTTTAATTCTCATACTGTTCTTGATTCAAGTGGATTTCTTTTAATATCAATCTCATGTCTCTGCTCCATTGGTTGAGCAACAGTGCACAAGGTCAGATGATGTCTCGGTGTAACTGACTTACCTGTATTTGTCAGCCAGTTCCCGGGCTTGCCGTTCATTGACTTCCCTCTGGTCCGGCAGGTCAGCCTTGTTGCCAATTAATACTATATCTGGATTTTCACAATAAGCATTTGCTTGCAGTTGGCCTTGGAAAGAAAGCAGACGGAGCCAGCAAGTTAGTCATAAATAAGTAAATTCACCCACTTGATGTCAAATGACTGCTACATTCCAGATCCTAATCTAATTGTTCATGCTATGTGCTAGCAACTGTTCCTAGGCTTTAATTCATTTAACGCCTCATAAACATACATAGGAGATACTAGAGCTATCCCATTTCCTTGTCTGTAAGATGGAGATTAAGCCCTACAAATTGCAGATTGTGAAGGTGACTAATAACATATCTAGAGCACCTGTATCATTACCTATCTGTGCTCTTCTACATCTGGGGAAGTGCTCTCTGAGATGGATGGGCTGCTTCATATCGTTGGATCCTCAAATATAAGTGGAGATAATAGAACATGATTTTAAAGTGGGTAAAACTGCTTTTTCCTTTAGGAGGCTGCTACATGTCTCTCTCCTAATGTCGAAAGCAATGATCTATAGAGTGGAACATTTTTTTAACAACCACAAATTTAGGTAGAAACAGTTTTAAAACAGGTAACTTGTTTTTTCTTCAAGAAATACTGTATGTGAAAGAGAGAAATGAGGAGGAGAGGAGACAGGAAGGAATGATGAAAGAAAGGAGGGGAGGATGAAAGGGAGGGACGGGGGGAAAAAGGAAAGAAAAGACACCTGTCAAACTGTGTTTTTTATGCTACCGAGGCTACTTTAATGTCTATCTTAAGGCATGCTGTGTGCTACCTTGCCAAGACCAGAGGGAGAAGACAAAGGTTTACTCTGTCACATCGATTATTTGGGGTGTTAGGAATTAAAGTGTTATCAGACATGGTAATTAATTATCTTAAATCCCAGCAATATCATTCTGTAGACTTTTAAAAACAAGGGATAATCTCATCTGCCTTGAAAAGGAGAAATAAACCATTCTTGGAAAGAATCTAATAATACCATCAAAATTTGGATAAGGAAATACAATACTGAAAAGAAGTAAAGATAGATCTTAGGATAAATACTCATTTGGAGAAGCAATTAATAAAGTCAGAATTTGTTGATATTTTTCCCCATCAGTTGCAACAGGGTTATTGAACTCATGTTGAAAACAGTCATATATATTATTAATTGTATATAATATATTATTAATTTTAGATAACATGTAGTAATAAGAAATATATATATTTTGAGCATCTACTCTGTGCCAGGTGCTCACTCGGGTCTGGTATGTTGCGATGGAACAGAAGAGACAAAAGTCTGTACTTTCACAGAGCTTGCATTCTAATGGTAGGAAGACTCAAAAACACAAGCAAACAAAAATAATACGTGATATAATATCAGATGATGACAGGGACTGAATGAACTACAAAGTGTCTCAAAAAGATGCGGAGTGATGAAGAATACCATTTTAGATGGGGTGGCCAGTCAGGGAAGGTTTCTCCCAAGAGATAAGTAAGGGTTGGGTAAAAATTTGAAGGGGATGAAGGGATTAGTAAATGGGAGAAGAGAAAGCGAGATGGGTAATCTGCCATGCAAAGGCCCCAAGGTAGGATGTGGTTTTGGTTCAGGGAATAGCATGAGAGCCCCTTTGCCTCGAAGCTGGCGCGCTGGGGCTGAGTAAGTAGACTAGAGAGGAAGCCCAGGGACTGATTGCAGTGACCTTGCAGGCAGAGGTGGGGGACTCGGGATCTTAGTCCAGGTGAGATGAGAAGTCACAGAAGGACTGTGAGCAGGGGAATAACATGATCTAATTTTTTAAAAAAATATATCGCTCTGGCTATAGGTAGCCCTGACAAATCTGGAAACAACAAGAGCAACACCAGTTCCATCAATTTAGAAAATATAGGAAAATTCTCATACTTCTCTCCTCATTGATATATATCAAATTGGCATTAATAATGGATTAGGCAACATTTAAATTTCGTATTATATCTAAGTTGCCATGGAGGCTGGAGATTTGTCTGTACAAGTTGTCTTCACATTTGACCTTTTTTTTTTAAGTAAAATTTCAGTGTGAGCTGACTGACAAACTGTGCCTTACCTCATCATCATGTGGCCAGTTGGCTCTGGAGTGGTTTCTCACTCAATTAACCCATTAGTCACTGAACATATATTAGGGACTAGTGTTCTCTCTGAGAAAACACTGCAGATTTTTGCTGTGCCCTCACCAGGTGAGATGTAGCAGATGTGGTTGCTAGCTTAGTTTTACGGTGTCCTTCAAGACTTCCAGAACAAGCGATTTAATGGCCTTTCAATGACATTAATAAAGACCTTAAATATGGGTGGTGATAAAGCCACGTTGGCTTCCTCTAAGGGTGTCCAAGGAAAATATAATTCCAAGCCAATTTGGGTAATTCATTGAAGGTGACACATGGACCACTAAACTCATGACTTTCCAACATTAATCTGTGGTGTCCAATCTGGTTTCATCTTGCCGGGCCAACAGCAAATAGAACTATTGGGTCTCAAAGCATAGGCGCATGTTACTTGGTTCCACTTACTCATCCAGTTTCTGACATTTAAGAAGCTCTGTTGACTGGTGAGGTCAAACATTAACAAGAAGCCCATGGCATCTCTGAAAAATGCAGTGGTGAGGCTCCGGAACCTGCCAAGAAAGCACAGTGGGCAATTCTGACAGTTAGTTCACACTCTTATGATGACAATACGAACAACGCTGTTTCCCTTTCAAGTGTGAAGTCTCCATGGCTGGGCTGGCCTTTATGGAATATCCTACAGAAATGGGAGTTGGCAGAAGGGCCAGGGGAAGAGATCTGGCGGTAGATTTTTTTTTTTTTTTTTAAGACCAATTCCTGGTTTCACGATCCCACAGCACTTATACACAGGGTTTGTAACATTCAATCACACACTTGCTTACACAGCGACTTAGAATCTTTTTCCTTTTGATTCCTGAGCATCTTGCGGTCTACAATTAAAATGTAAACCACTTTAGAGTGGGGACTTTAACTAATACCTTCCAATCTTGCTTGTCTGTGCCCAGAAGAAAGCTTGGCATGCAGTAGCCTCCAAATGAATGCCTGTGGTGCTATGAGGAAAACCACAACTTGTTAGCAGCTGAAACTGGAATTCTATTGTAAGGAAAACTGTTGGTGACAAAACTCTTTTATAAGTACTCTTTGGGGTAAAACTGAGTTTTAGGCTGACATCTAGCTCCAATGAAGAAAAGGAAGGGTCATAGTGTGTGTGTGTTGGGGGGGACCAAGGAAAGGTCAGGACAAAAGAGAGACACAGTCATTGGAGAAAGAAAGTGAGGACACTTGTTTGTCCTGGAGGATTTTGAAAGATATCCTTGTTCATGTGCAATGCAAAGACTTTCCCTTCCCCCTTTTTCACCCCCCACACGCAGACTCTGCGGTGAAGTTGAACATGTGCTGAGATCCACTTCAACGTGAGCAATGGGCGAAACCAGAGACCACACGTAGGGACCAGAAACGGTTTTAGATTTGGCAGTGGGTTTTCAGGAATCTTCTAATTTTTGGTCTCATATTTTAGCCTATTTGTAGATCCTTTGTACTGGTTTCCTCTGGGTTCTATTCTCAACCCCTCTCATTCTATGTATATTCTCCAGGTAATTGCATCCACTTCCCTGGCTCAATGATAGCCTGTAGGTTGAGGAATCCAAAATGTGTAGATCTAGATCTTTGCTGCCTTTCACACTGGGTGCCTAATTACTTGTTGAGTATTTTCACTTGGAGGACACTCAGACATCTCCAACTCCATCTGTCCAAAACCAGACTAGCTCCTCCTGCTGATTTCCTTTTGTGTCAGTGACATCACCACCCTTCTTGTTGCCATGACCCCTTTTTCCTTCACCTGCTGCCTACAGTCAACAGGTATCTCTCTATCTGCACATTTCTGTCCATCTACCCTTCCACTGCTCCACTTCTGAACCTACTTTCTCTCACCTGGACACCTTCAGCAACCTCCTCGTTAGGCTTCCTATGTCCAATCTTATCTGGGACCCAGTCCCCCATCCCTGTATTTCTTCCCATTGATTATATTTTAATGACTATATATCACCCTTAAGGTCATGCCCAAATCCTTAATAAGCCATCAAGGCTCTGCAGGAACTGATCCTTGCTCTTCAATCCTGACTCCCCACAGGCATGCTGATCTTATTTTTATTCTTAGAAAGTTCACCCTCCTCCCCTGAGCTTTCACACTGGCTGATCTTTCTGTGTAAACTCACTTAATGCATCCTTTTCCTCCTACCACTTCCTGTAGCCTGAATAACACGTATTCATACATTGTACATGAGTATATATAATACATAATGATGTCAGAGGAAATATCACTTCCCCAAGGAGCCTTTCTAACTCCATATGTGGGGTATGGGTGTCTCCTATGGGCCTACCCAATGCCTTTAGTTTTCTGTTACTGTCCTAAGGGTATACTGCAAGTGTTTTTTGTCCAAATTCCAGCCTAGACTATAAGTTCCAAGGGGAAAGGTGCTGTGTTTCTAACTTGATATCCATTATAGATTCATGGCCCAGAACATGGCATTTTCTCACTAAATATTTGTGAAATTAAAGAGGTGAAGGGAAAAGATAAAGAAAATAGTAAAAAGATATAAAGTTATTCAAGTATTAAAATGACTTCAGTAGAGAATGATACTTTAAATAAAAAAGATGAGGTAAGAGATATTTTCACTACTATTTATTTCCAAAGTAGGATTTCTTTTGTAGGGCATTATCATGATCTAAAAATGTAGAGTAGACAATTGAGTAAAACATTTACTCAATTTTTTCTTGTGGATTTGTTTCTACTATTCCCTGGAAGCTCACAGAGATTAGAGTGCTTTTGTTGAATGGTTCTCTCTCTTTGGAGACTAGCTGTACCCACAAAATTGTCCCCCTCCTCAACCACAATAGTGTCATGGCTAGGAAAATTGCCCTTTTTCTCTTCTTAGCTGTGTGAGTGTATTTGTGTGTGTGTGTGTGTATGTGTGAGTGTGTCTCATTTGAGGACTAGCATGTTATTCCCATCTCACTGCTCATAGCATATGACAAAGTTACTCAAAACATGCTTATTGTAGTGATCTGACTGGGACAGACACTTTTTCATCCACAGCAATGTGGACAGTTGCATAGGACACACTGGCTCTTTCTGCCCAGCATCCATGTTAACCCTCATTCGTCCCAGGGACCCAGTAACTCATTTCCTGCATCTCATCCCATCCACTGAGTCAATGGGGGGTGGGGGAGGAAAACTAAGACCACATAAAGAAATAGATCCCAGAGTCACATTATCACTCTTTTTCCCTCACTGGGAACTAAGGCTGTGCCTTGTATCCTATAGGTTCCCATAAGAACTACGTATTTTTTTTCCCTCCTTCCCATGATGTGACTTGTATCAATAATCACTATCTTACTTGGATTATACTGCCAGATGTCTTCAGGAACAGGGCTGAGGTGTGAGGCATTGTTTATCTTGTTGCTTAGCTACACCTTACATACACAGAATGCAAAATTCTCCAGGGATGAATAGCCTGAGTGTTACTGAGACTGCCCCATAGTGCTCCCATTTCCCCCCCAGGGCAGCTGCCTTGAGGGGACAGACGAGAGAAGGCTGCCATCACGCTAGGCTGACATATCGTGTGCGAGGACATATGGGAACCATATTTTCTCATATTACTTCTTCAAAAATGAATTCAATTGCTCTATAAAACATACATCTTTGTGACAACAAAACTGACATATGAACAGAGATTCTTGTGAGGAATGACTTCGGAGGAACCAGCCATGTTGAAGGGTGTGTGTAAATGGAATTCACAGTCAAAAAAGCTAACAGAGAGGGCCCCGCACCTCTCCTGGCGTTTACACTCACTGACAGCGAGAACATTTTGGATGCATTTCAAAAACCAAAGTGTTTACAAGCATAAGCATTCTAAGACATACAATGTGGAATTTGGAGGTATGTGCCTTCTAAATATCTTCTCTGCCAATCTATTGCCATTTTAAATTTAATCTAATACTGAAAAATGTTATTAGCTTGGGGTCTTTCAAGCTTTGAAATTTGGGATCCCAAAGAAATCTATTTTCATTAAATAATAGAATAGTACCTCCAACTCTAAGCCGTTAACACTACTGTCTACTGAATATTATCTTGGATGCTGTTCCAAAGACAATGCTGAAAAACCAGGCAAGGTCTCCACCCTCGTAACACTGGCAATTTTGTTGGGCTAAGAAGGCCACAAGTGAATCAATGAACAGCAGTTAGGGATAAACATAGAAGATTTGTCTTATTACAAGATGGTATATATTAATAATTAATTTAGTGACTAAAAGGGTGGAGTCCACAGGAATTTAGAAGCAAAGTGGAGGCTTGTTTCAGTTGGGGTGCTCAGACAGGCTTCTCAGAGGGGGTGGAATATGAGCCAGGCCTGGTCAAAGGAGAGGATCAGGGAAAGTGGGAAGAGAATAGAAGATTCTAGCTGGAGGGCAATGGTATGATCGGAATCTGAGAGGACAAGGCCAGTCACATGGCATGAGACAAAGTGGCTGTGTGGAAGATAAGAAAAGAGAGGAAGATCCTCACACCCTTTCTTCGACTCCTTATTCCAGAAGCACTTATAATAATGTTAATTTCCCATCTTCATTCAGTTAAATTCTGGAGAAGTTCCTTTTCTGCCAGAAAAGTGCAAAGACAATGCATAGCAAGAATCGCTATAGAGATTTTTGAAAATCTGATTTTTGAAATCTGTACCAACTGTACAAAGCTAGTATGGTTAATTAACTACAAATCATTTATTTTTTATTTATTTGTTTGTTTATTTTGAGACAGAGTCTCACTGTGTTGCCCAGCCTAGAGTGCCATGGTGTCAGCCTAGCTCACAACTTCAAACTCCTGGGCTCAAGTGATCCTACTGCCTCAGCCTCCGGAGTAGCTGGGACTACAGGCATGTGCCACCATGCCCAGCTATTTTTTTTTCTATTTTTAGTTGTTTGGCTAATTTCTATTTATAGTAGAGACAGGGTCTCGCTCTTGCTCAGGCTGGTCTCGAACTCCTGAGCTCAAGCATTCCTCCCGCCTCAGCCTCCCGGAGTGCTAGGATTATAGGTGTGAACCACTGCGCCCGGCCCAAATCATTTAATTTTGTTTCCTGATACAAATGTCTATTTTGTAACCAGGAGAAAAGGTGCATATTATTTGTTTTTCAAGTTCACATACAGCATTAATTTTAAAATAAGCTTTTCTAAGCCATACAAAGCTAGAAACAAAGTGATTTACTATTTACCGCTCTTGTCCCGCAGTGTCCCAAAGCTGAAGATGCACCTTAAACGCTTTCCCCGAAGATTCATTTGGTCCTTGAGTATTATAAACCTGAAAGGCACGATGTTCATTAGTTGATACTGCTTTGGGTTTTGTCAACACTGTAATTCTCTGGGTTCACTCAGCATGTTTTTCCTTGATTACTATAATCAAAGTTCATAGTGCAGAATAAATATTTGCTCTATTTTTTCCAGAAGTATCACATGTACTCTCACTTTTAAATGTCAAGTGCAAGTATGATTTTCAACACAACTTAGGCATATTGCGAACTTGAATTAGACACCTTCTGTCATTCCCTCACGAGGCAGCAAACGTCAGATTTAGGACCCAAGTTCTAGGTTCAAATACCAACTCTTCATTTAACCTCTTTTAGTCTTATTTTCTTATCTGAAAATTGAGACCTATAATCCCTTCCCACTTTGCAGAGTTACTGCAAACTACAAACTTACATGAAATAACTGATGCGAAAGTATTTTTGCAAACAGTAAAGTGCTTTACAAATACGTGAGTGTCTTTTACCGTGGAATGGATTTTCAAAATGACCTAGCCATAAAATATGCACAGAATTTCTCAATAAGTTGACACAGGACATTTCAAGCTTTCCTTCACCAATCATTTCATCAAAGGCTCTTTTTAGATAAGTAGATTTTTTTCTTTTTTAATTCTGGCTCTTTTTAGGTAAAGCATAAAGACTTTAATATTTAATCAGCTCTTTTAAGTAGAGTTTAGTGAAAATGTTTTAAAAGGAAAACTTTCCAAGGACTTATACCCTGATCACTGGGGATATCAGGGAGGAGAGAAGGCAGGAGAAACCCCGCAGGGGTTGGCTGGCAGCCAGTTTGCTATGACTACACTGCAAAGTATTGACTTCAGATAAGGGACAGCGTATCACATCACAGGGAACCATGATTCGACTTCCCAGGCAATGGCTTCCAACCACCATGTCTTTAGTTTTCTTTCCCAACTCCCAAGGCATGAGTAGATTTGTGACATCAACTGGAAGCCACAGCTATCTTGGCAATCAAGCATACCTTGGGTGGCAGTAAATCTGGCTAAGCTTATGTGCCTATGCTACATGTCTCACATGTCACAATATCCTTATTTCTGTCATTAGCGTCTAGCATAGGAGAAGGAAGTGGTTGTGATTCTCACTTAAACTCCCTTATCTTGGAAAATAGCATGGGTTGGTCTCACATTCTGTTCATAATAAGCCAGTGATTGATGGCTGAGTCTACACATAAATAAAAACGCAGCAAGAACTTACAAAGCTCATGTTCCAGCCATTTGCCAATCATACTTTTAACCTCTTTCTCAAGAGAAGAGAAATGAACACTTGGTCTTATTGAAGACTTTAACACAGATCAAAGAGTTAATGTGTTTAGATCCTGAATAATTCAAGTTTTGAAAGAATTCCTGAAGAATTCATAGAAAACACACTATGCAAATCCAGAAATTATTTATTTTAGTTGCCTTGCATACTTTGGGAGACAAGAGATAGTGCCACTCAATATTTTTCTAGCAAAATGTTATTTATAGTTGGAAAGTAGTAAATAATATTCTAAAGTAAATTAAAGTGACAGGCTATGAATTTCATGTGATAACAGACAGACACTTTTGCAAGGCAATAAACATAGCTTCTGGGTTCTTCTTTTACATAGGGGGATAGCAACGATGTTAACAGAATGGTTAAAAACTTACCACGCGTTTTTCCCGAAAGTCTATTCCTACTGTAGTGATGAATTTGGGATTGAATTTATTGTCTGTGTATCTATAAAGAAATGTCGTCTTCCCCACTCCTGAGTCTCCGAGGGCCAGGAGTTTGATCAGATAATCATAGTCCCCATCGGTCATAGTGATGGTCTTGGTGGGCCTGTGCAGGAAAGGAAAAACAAACATGTTAGGACTAATGTTGATTTTCCTTTGCCTTCTATTAAAACACAACATAAATTTAATTTTTAAGGTTAAAAAAAATCAAATGCATCTATTCTTCCTCTATTTTAAATTAATGTGATCACAGTAGCATCATGGGAGAGGGTACATCTATTATTTCAGTCAATACAAATCTTTTTGCAGGGTATCACGTAATATGGAAAAATATGCAAAATGGGAATTGCCACAGCAATGATAGAACTTCAAATAAAAAGTAGTAGACTTTAGTTTCAAAACCAATGCCCTTTGGGATTAGGAGGATGGTGTTAGGAAGAAGAGTTATGGGGAACAAAATAATCCCAGTCCAAGATGATGCAGATATGCTAGAGAGAAACCTCAATTACATATGGATAATGGAAAAAGAAAGCTTAAGGGTACACTTTGCATCTAATCATGCAGGATGAGCTTCATATTATGTGCATACAAATTATTCCCTTTTAATTTAAAGAATTTAACTGGCATGACAACCTTTACAAACCTCCACTGGTAATACCAAAAATACCAGGACGCTCATTTGAATGACACCATCACTTACTGAATTCTTGGTGAAGTTTCCACTCTTGAGTTTAGTAAAATAATTTACTATTTGGTACAACTTTCTGATTCATGAGCTACAGAAATGGATTTGTCATAGCCTATGTGGAGGACGGCCTATGAAGATTTTTCTAGAATGCAAAAGTTTCTCTTATTATTGTGTGAGAAGGATCAATATTTCCTCACCTCTGAAAGACCCCAAGAATAGAGTTCTAGGATAATTAAAATCCTATTTGATGAACATATCTAAAAGTCACTAGTTCATTCTAATAATCTTTTACATGTAAGAAAACTGGGTACATGATGCCTATGGTACATATATTTAAAACAAAACTTTTTTACACTGTCACTTTAGTTAGTAGTCAAAACTAAAACAAAAGGTTTTGTGTCTTTGAGTACATAATGATGAAAATAATGAGGTACTTAACAAATAATTCAGGAGCTTTTTTGTATCATTTGGGAGATTTGTAATTTTTTTACATTAGAATTTTCTTAAATTTTAATTATACTACTGTTAAATGCTACTGAATTTATTATGAATGTGTGTTTCTTTCATTAATGTATGCTTTTTGAGGTAGGATATTTTGAGGGTAGCCAGTTCATCCATTTATTCTAAAGCTTTCCTACCCTACGATATGCTTTCTGTACTAGTAGGACTCCTTGGGTAGATTTTTTTCTGACCATAAATGTTCTCTCTCTTTGTTTTAGTATCTAGACAAAGCATAATCATGGCTCAGGAGGAGATGTATAGCAGCTATCAAAACCCAGACTTCCTTAATAAAAAAGATACAAAGGAGATTGCTGCTAAAGAAGTGTGATTCCCCCCCAACTTAAGGTCTATCACCATCACTCTGCCTTCTCTCTTTTTCCCCAAAATTGCACATGAGAAACTGTTTTGGAGGGTGCTAAAGCCTGCCATTTCACTAGAATTGCATAAAACTGTTAATTCTCTCATAAAAAGAAAGAATTAAATTTATTCTAAAATATTAGTAACTAAAGTCATATTCTTCCCTAAGGCAAAAGCCTTAATGCTTGGGGAGAGGAAAGTAAAATTGAATAAAACTGGCTGCTTAAATAGAAGTTAAAGCTGGAAGATACTGTGGCTCCCTGGAAAAATGAAAATAATGGACTCAAGAAAATACTTCGGCATACTTTAAAATCTTGCCTAGAGTTAACTATGTTTTCTTGCAATTTTTTTTTTTTTGTGTGTGTGTGTGTGTGTGAGACAGTCTCAACAAAGGCTAAGTCTTGAGCAAATCTTGTTAAATACATAGTGTTAGGCCCAAAGAGAAAAATTCAAAAAATGCAATTTCTAATTTAATTTTAAGGTGTGAATACACTTATAAGTTATATAAGAATGCAAGAAAATATAATACAATTTTGCAAGATAGAATGTAATTAATTGATAAATGAGTCAAATAGTGTTTTTAATTCAAACAAAACAATTATCTTCAGAGACTGCAGTGGTCTAAGAAGACTTTGTAGAGCAAGACAAACTTGCATTTATCCTTAAAGCCTAGGAAGGAGTTAGATACAAGGAGATAAGTGACAGCACTATTGTATGGGAGATTACTTCCCACTTGTAGAATGAGACCATATCCACTTGCCAACTACATGACCTACCAAGTGTTCCTTATTGGCAGACAATTTGCTTTCTGTTGTTTGTACATAGACCTGCCTGGGGCAATGGCAGGGCTGCCTCCCAGTCAAGATCTAATCCAGAGTGAAGAATCCAGGCTACCATGGATCAATTCCACTATGGCCCACACTGACTCTCTTCTACAAGTTGAGGGTGCTGGACACTTCGTGTCATTTGACACAAATTCTACCTGAAATAAAGGGAAACCTTGGGACTGTTGAAAACCTTTATTTAGTGACTCCAATAGGCCGTCTGATATATAAAGCTGAGTAGGAGACAGTTCACCTCTGAGTTCCTTCCGAAAATGAATTTTCTCATTTTTTTATATCATCACTCTCCTCTCATAGATATATCATATATATATATTTCTTTTGTGTATTATATAATTCTTTTGTGTGTATATATTTCTTTTGTATTTGGTTCAGGTCCCCTTTTTATTACTATGTTATCTTCTGAATCCTAAAATCATATAACCTCAATATTCTATCCTTGGCTTGGCAAATACAGCACTATTTAAAAAAAGAAAAAAAGCCTCAGCAAGCTTTCCTTTTCTAAGAACTGGGCTAAAAAAATGATCTGGGAAGGATCAAAAAGCTGACAATGTTAACAGTATTGTTTGTTCCTGCACAATGATTGATAGTCTTGTCAGTTCTTGGCTCTGTGGATCTCAAAGGGAAGAAAAAGCGAGAAGATCGCAGTGTTTCGGGAAACGCATCTGACTCTCAGTCCCTATCATGATGTCGCAGGCTACACCACAAGCACCAGGAGGACTTTTAGATACAGAAGATCCCTTCACAGGAAGGCAAGGGGCTGGAAAGGGATGGGAAAGAATTGAAACGGATCACACCCACGAGGCTCTGTTTCATGAAGAGTCGTAAAAGTAGAAGGAAACACAAGTAACCACGTGGTCTAGCCCCTCAGATGAGAAGTCTCCTCATGTGGAAAAGTTATGTGACATGTGGAAGTAACAACTAGTTTCTAATAGAGGGAAATCCAAGACTCTCTTTTGTTATAATTTGAAATGAAAAATGTGTTAGGTAGGTACAGAATAGAAATATTTTCATTCTCTAGGGGAAAGGAATTCTCTCCTGGGTATTGACAGAAACTTGATTTTCATAGGTAGAATATCTGAAATGAGGTTGGTCATGGATCCTCTCTTCCTCACCCTCAGTCCCCACTATTCCTGGTCAATATAAGTTCCATTAGTGCATGGTCCTAATTTCCTAATTTCTTCTCAAAGAATATTTAGAATTCATGGATGAGAGCCTAATATGGAAGGTTCTGACCAAATTGCAAATATTAATGAACATCAACTTAATGGCTTTTAATTAAGTTGACAGTGTTCAATGTGTCTACTGGAGCAATTAGATCTATTTTGTTTCATTCTGTATTCAAATGGTCTGATATAATAAAGATAAACCAAGTGTTTATTGAACTCTGATGTTCAGTTTACTCGCCCTGGAAGTAAAGGGTAAAAATTCTAACATAGGTTAACTTTAAATTGATTTATATTCATTGACATGTTACCATTACGCTCATACATTAAAATCATTCATAAGCCAATAAATAATTTCTTTTTTCTAAATTGTTTCTTGTTTAAAGTAATTTTTTTCCTTTGGCTTAATTTTGTGGCATCTTTATTATGGAAAATTTAAAATATATACTAAATTTGAGGGAACAGTATAATGTAATTCCATACCCAGATCACCCAATTATCAATACATAGCCAATCTTCTTTCACCTACCCTGAAACTCTCCCACTACCAGATTATTTTGAAGCAAATATCAGACATAATAATATTTTTTTATAAATGATTCAATATGTATCTGTAAAACAAGATCTGTCAACCCAAAGACTATTGCCATTATGTATACCTATAGAGAACATTATCAAACATTTAGCCTTTTGAGAATTTGATAGATCAAAAACCATGTATTAATACTATTTTAACCTGTTCCTAACTTACAATGATCAAGGTCAAGTATCTTTTCATGTGATTAAAGTTTGTTTTATATATTTTTCTGTGAAAGAAGGTTCATATCTCTTGCCCATTTTAAAACTGGTTTTATCTGTTCTAATTTTAGAAGTTCTTAGTATATTAGGGATATTCAACCTTTATTAAAGATGTAAATACTTTTTCCCATTTTTCTCTTTACTTTGCTTGTAGTAAGCTACGCAAAAGGCTTCTATTATTGTTGTTGTTGATGTTGTTTTGGGGGATGAGGAATTAAATTCTGCGTCATGGTTAGGAAAGTTTTCCCACGCCTGGTTGTAGAGGAACTTACCAGTGTTGTTCTGGTTATATGATTTCAATTTTACATTTAAATCACTAGGTCATCTGTAATTTATCATAATGTATGTTATTAAGAATAGGTCCAAACTTATCTTTTTCTAGCTGTTGCAATGCAACTTAAAAAATCTATCTTTTCATTACTGATTTGAGCTGCCTCTTCTACCATATAAATTTTCATATACAATTGGGTCTATTTCTGAATTTTTCTCTTCTATTTCTTTGGTTTATCTCTTCATGCAAGCGCTGTTTTAAATATGATTATTCATAAAATGTTTAATATCTGAGAGGGTTATCCCCTCCTCATTTTTATTTTCTTGACATTCTCATGATATTAAATGTTCCTACTCAGAAACATAAGTTTCAATTTGGTCAAATCTTCTATTATGACTTTAAGAATTATTTTATGGTTTCTATCATACAGGTTCTAGATATTTCTGTTATGTTTACACCTAAATATTTTCTTGATTTGCTTTC